GGTCTGCGGGAGCTCGAGGATCCACAGGGACAAAGACGCAGCCAGCTTTGAGAATAGCGAGCATGGAAACCATACTCCATCGCGATTTCAGCATCTTGGAGATGATGAAGGTGCCTTGACCCCATCCCTTGGCGACAAAGTAGCGGGCCACAGCTTCAGAGTAGTAGTCTAACTCGGCGTAGGTGAAGCTACCGTCCCAAGCACAGATCGCCAAGTCTCTGGGGCGATGGAAAGCGTGAGCAGTGACAATGGTGTGAATGCACTCTTGACTATCTGATTGAATGTTGTTATTCCACCTGGAGAGCTGCGCTATTTCATGGAAAGGCAGCAGGTCAATCTGGTCGATCCCCAAATCCAAGCTAATGCTAGGACTAAGCAATTGATGACAGATGATTCGGAAAGTGGCTGCCACAGCCTCCGTCTTTTGCTCATGGGCTGCACCGGAGACATTGATGTGGCACTGATTTGATTCTTGACCAGACAGCACAAGTGTGTAGAAAAGCTGGAAAGTGATTAGTGATGTAGTACTAGCATGGCGTCTGTCGATTCTACTACTCACCTCCTCGGGAGCAATGTGGGCGATTGACGAAGGAGGCTCATCTTCCGTAACGAGAAATCGGGTAGGACAATCGCTGAGTCTCAAGGAAACACCAGCATCTTCCGCTACTGCAGATCGGCTCACTTGACGTAAGACGGCGCCGACCGTGGCGGGATCAGGACCACTGTGGAGAATGCGCATCGTGACATAGAGGCCATCTTCATGACTATCACTCTGATGCAGACTTGCCAGATTCACAACGTCGGAGTCAGTGTGCACGTGGCTTGTGATTGCCCATGCAGTTTTGAGAAAGGAGTTGGCTTGGAAATTGAGCCTGGAGCAAGCTCCTCGAAGGGCTTGTGATGAGACCACGAGCTTTTTCGAAGTAGACTTCATTTTTGTATGGTGAAAAGTGATTTGATAATACAGCCTACCAAAGGATTGTTGATTATTCGTATTAGGACAGATGGACTGATAGAATCGAAAAACGAGGTTCAGCGAAGAATATCACAGTACTACGGATACAGGCTCAAGGTGAAGTGGCTTCATGCAGTAATTATCCGAGTAATTGAAACTTCCCTTCCTTCCCCCACTTCCCTAGTCAGTATTGTCTCCTCATGTCATATCACAAACGCTGACACTGCAAAACAGCGCTCGGTGCTGATGGAAATTGAAGAGCGTGTTACCAGGGAGTCTTGGCCGTCGGCGACTGTTGCTCAAAGCCCAAAAGGGCAACGTGAATGACCCTGCCCAAACCTTAAGACGGCAGACTGATCCTTTCGACGAGCAGTGCAGTCATCATTGCGCACAAACGCGAGGGATTGGAAGGAATCGACAACAGTCGCATTCGGGGCTCCAGTGACTCCAGTTTCCCACACAAGCTCAGTAAGCCAGTATGGATCGTGAGTCGTGACCTTGTTTCAATCTCCGGCATGTCACTGGGAGTTCCACCTTGGGTCCCAGACTTATGTGATGTGGTGCGTTCATACAATTCAGCGAATAGGAGACATCACACTTTTCGCCGAAAAGCAGGGTCACATCGTCCGTCGGCCTAGCTTGACATGACTGCAAGGTTCCGCGTTATTCGGATTTGACGCGAGAGTGAGCCTCTGCGGAGGTTACCCCGGTCGTGTTGCTATGATCAGACGAACCTCAGCCGAAAAACTCGTTAGGATTCCGGATTCTTTGGAAGCGAAGTGGGGCCGTAGACGGACTCGCATCGTGGGGCCAAGCTGCAAGGTCAGCAATATTCCCTGGCTGCGGCGTGGCTCAAACGCAGGACGAGCCCGAGGAGGAATTTAGATTGCTGCAAGATATCGTTCCGGGAAACCTAGGGCTAATGTGGTAGAAGCAATACCACCACGGGTAAGCCGGGTCATCACGCAACTGCAGATGTTGCTGACCCAGACCAAACAATCGGAATACCGAGGGTTCCTGAATCCTGCAAGAGCGGCGTGAGAGGAGTTACATCGAATCTATATGCGGCCCGCGCGGCAGCAATGCAGAGCCAAAGTTGGACTGACTAACTCCAACTTGACCTTGAGAGTCCGCCAGTGGCCACGGAGATTTGAGCCATGCCGACAGTCTCGATCTTTCAGGGCGAAGGAACGTTGCCACATTTCAAACTTGGAACACTCGTATCCGCACGTGCGGTTTGGTCGGGATCCGGCTGGTGCTTCGAGAACACGGGAGCGAGCACGACATGCCATTTGTCAGGGTGTCATCTGGGCCTCTTATGTATCCTTGAATCACTCTAAGTTTGACCCCGTCCCACCGTCATATCTGGAGTTGTAAGACAAGACATCCATTGCCACGGAACCGGTGCCAAATTTTCACTTCTATGTTGCATCTGTCTCAACGCACTGCCATCAACCTACTCCAGTTCAGTCCCTTCAAAGTGGCTGCCTAAACTGATATCACTCTTTTACCATACCAAAACACTCGTTCACAGCAATCGGTACGATGACGAGCGCCAAAGATAGTGATTCACTGGAGACACCAGAGCGAACATGTTTCGGGATACCTCTCTCAGCACTGGCAGTGTGCATTGCCTTGTCCCTCACTGTCGGACTGATTGGCATGGTGAGTACATGGAGTTTTCTTGTAGCTGAACCTACGGAATGGGTGTAGATGGCATTGCATACTACTCTTCTTGTGAGTACTCAAGTGACAACTCGCTAACGTATGACGAACTACAGGACGGCACAATTGTGGGTGTAGCAACTCCTGAAATCACGACCGACCTTGGAAGTCTTGGTGATGTTGGTTGGCTTGGATCTGCCTAGTATGTGTTTGAATGCGAATTTTATGCACCCAACTCAGTCTCGACCACGAACTGACAGAGACGACTCAGCTTTTTGGCAGCAGCAGCGTCACAACTTGTCTTTGGCGCCCTTAACCGGGTAGTCCCACACAAACATGTCTACATTGCAGGAATCTTCCTGTTCGAGCTCGGTTGTCTGCTTGCCGGACTAGCGAATACATCTACAATGTGCATCGTTGGTAGGGCGTTCTCTGGCCTAGGCTGTTCTGGAGTTGTATCAACCTCACTAGTGTATGTCAAGGTGTCCTTCAACATAATGCTCGGAATATCCTTCGCTGACTAGCCTGTGCTGATGCCAGACTCGTAACCGAAATTCTGCCACCTGCCCGTCTCCCACTCATGATCGGAATCTTGGGTGCTATGGAGTTGGTCGGCCAGATTACCGGCCCTCTCATTGGTGGCGCCTTGACAGATAATGCATCATGGAGATGGTGCTTCCTGATAAATGTACCCATGGGAACAGTGGCTGGTGCGGTCGTTTTCTTCTTGCTCAGGACCCACCGAAAGCCTTGGAAGACGATCTTCCAAGAGCTGAAGATGATTGACGGCATCGGCATTCTCATCTTGACTCCGGCCATCGCTCTCATCTTGTTCGTCGTTCAGTCTGGAGGCAACACGTTCGCATGGAACAGCGCACAGTCCGTCAGCATGTTGACAGTGGGATTCGCTCTCCTCGTAGCGCTCGTATTCTGGGAGCACCGAAAGGGCGAGGCCGCTGTCATTCCCCTGGCACTGTTCGAGAACCGCAGCATCTCTTTCGCCGCAGCTTTTGCTGTCGCGGCTGGTATGGCTATGGCTTTGTTTGACTACTACGTAAGTACAATCTTCATCGAGGTGGTGTCCCTCACACCTGCTATGAGCCGACTCCTGACACATCACAGATCCCGCTCTGGAACCAAGTTATCAAGGGCTATTCAGCCGCGCGCTCTGGTATCCTGCTTCTACCCCTGAACGCTTGCTCCGCTGTCGGTGTGATGGCAGGAGGCCTTCTGGCGAACACCATCGGTCGCGCGAACCCGGTTATGCTTCTCGGTGGTACTCTTACGGCCATTGTATCTGGTCTTTTCAGCACCATTACCATGGCCAGTACTGATTCTCGTATCATGGGGATCTCGGCACTGGCCGGTTTCGCTGCTTTGGCGTCTCAGCAGCCCATTGTTGTGGCCCACAACGCTGTCGAGACCAAGCTGTCACCGACTGCCATCTCAATGATGCTCTTCAGCAGCATGGTGGGCAGTGCTATCAGTCTTGCCATTGCGCAGGCGGTCTTCCTCAACAAGCTTCAAGGCAACCTTCGTCCAGTTCAAGGAGTCGATGTAGACAAGATCATCCGAAGTGGCGCAACCGAGCTTCGCCACATCGTTGATCCATCATTGCTCCCAAAAGTTCTCGAACTTTACAACCTTTCGATTGTTCAAGTGTTCTACATGGCCTTGGCGGCTGGTATTGCCATGACAGTTGCATCACTTTTGGTCAAGTGGACGAGGATCTTGGAAAAAAAGCCAAAAGACGCAGAAATCTGTGAGCCTTCGCCAGTCACATCGGCCGGTACTGGAGTGACCGAGCCTGAAGACAGAGAAAACACCGAAACAACCACGGAAACTATCGTTGAGAAGGATAAAGATTAACTCGTAAATCATTGTGGACGGTCACAGTATACAATGAGCATCTTACGTCTGTTGGTTCATGCAGTTTGTTGATAATTATGCACGCCTGGGTTTAGTGGTTTGCTTATTTGTTCATGAGATTTCATTTTATTTGTCGAACTGGCTCAATCTAATTTCATCTCCATGTCAAATTCGTACTATTTCCCTCAAATGTCTGCCAGAGTTGTCCGACGAGGTCTATTGCCGCCCAATATCGAACATTGTCGGCATTTATAACATGTTTCATGGATTGACGACTATGAGTCCTTCAAGGTGATCATACGCGAGAGTTTTCGATTAACTTAGTAACTTAATTCCCTGTTCCATCCCTAACCGTTGCTAAAATTTTCAAACGCACACGCTTCCAAGATGACTAGCTCATTTTTCTGGTCGTGAGTTTATGGCATTCGTCTCTATATACAGGCAAGCACTTCCTTCACCAGGACATACACGCAGGAGTGCGACTTCCTCATCATCAAACCTTTCACAGCCCCTAAGCTGTTGCCGCTGTCTGGGTTGCACTTGAGGCCGCCATTTTGGCCATGGTGTTTTGCTTCTTGAGCGGCAAGGTCGACAGTTTGCGACGGTACATGTGCTGTAATTGATGTTAATGAAAGGAAAAGGCAAAGAAGAAGCAGATAACAACTTACCAATGACGCCGAAACAAACGCCATTGCCTGGGCAATCCCCTCGTTTTCATCGATAAAGTAGCCCCATGTGGTCTTGTCCCCCTCCACGCAGGTAGCCAGCACGCAGTACTTCCCATCGAACCGCCCAGACAGCCGCTGGGTATGATGAATTTTGGCCGCGGCATTAACGTCCTTCATGAAGTGCAAGCCCCTGACAACGGCGGAGGCAATGTCGGGCCCAGTTCCATCGATACGAATGGCGAAGCTGTCGGCAGGATTGATCATTCCGACAACAGTTTGCAGTGTGCCATCGCTAGTGACGGAGATGTTGCCGATGTTGGAGGCACTATCGTGCTTCTCGCTTGGCGTAAGTGAGTAGCTGGCAATGAAGAGGTTGATAACCTCCTGGTGTGAGATCTCTCGTGCAAGGGCCTCGCACATCATCTGGACTCGGCCTCCAAAGTTGATCTGAAGCTCGACGGGTATGTCAAGGCCCCAACGTCTGTTGAGGATCCAAGTTGCAGCAGCCTTGCCACTTTGTGAGTTTACCCGAATGATTGTGTCCAAAGGAATGCCCAAGTCTTCAGGATCGAGAGGGAGGTATGGAATGTCCCAAATCGGCCTAATTCCCTTCTCGGCCGCCTCGACTCGTTGCGCAATGCCCTTTCGAATGATATTCTGATGGCTGCCACTGAATGCCTGAAGCGCAAACTCGCCAGTATAAGGCATACGTTGAGACACGATTAAACCAGTGAGCTTCTCATACTTTCTCTTGATGTCGTACAGCTTTGAAAAGTCGAGACCGGGGTGGATGCCGCGCGAGTACAAGTTAAGGGCCAGTGTGACGAGATCAACATTGCCAGCGCGCTCTCCGTTGCCGAACAGACATCCCTCGACCATGTCAGCACCTGCAAGCATGCCCAACTCAGCTGCAGCAACACCACATCCACGGTCGTTGTGGGTGTGAATTGAGATAGATATCTTTTCGGGGTCAGACAGAGACGCTCGGAAGGTCTCGACTTGGTCTGCAAACACGTTGGGAGTAGCAACCTCGGTGCTAGTCGCCAAAACCACCACCAAAGGGTCCTCCACGGTGGGCTCCCAGGCCTCTCTGACAGCCTCAGTGATCTGCACAGCGTAGTCATGGTCGGCTTCGTTGTAGGACTCGAGGCCAAACGCCATGGTCCAGTCCGTTACAGCCGCCGATTCCGGGTCGTCTTTGGTAATAGACCGCAGGTACCGAACAGATCTAACAGCCTGCTCAAGTGCCCTCTCTCGTGTGAAGCCCTGATACTTGAGCTGCTTGTCACTGACGCAGATATAAGTGCAAACGGACGCTCTTTTGGCACCACGAAGAGCGGCGACGGTGCGAGCCAAGAAGTCTTCTCGCGTGGGAGAAAGACCCCGCAGACGTACAGTGTCAGGAACAATGTTGGGCGTCTCAATCAGACGTCTCGTAAAATCGAACTCGACTTGGGATGCGGCCGGAAAGCAGACTTCGATTTCGGTGTAGCCAATTTCGACGAGCATCTGGAAATATTCCCACTTTTGCTCAATGGTCTATGAAGGAAATTAGCCTCCCATAGGTTTGAAATTCAAGTACATGCGTTAAACTCACCAAGGGGTTGATGAGAGATTGGTTGCCATCACGCAAATCAGTTGAAAGCCAGACTGGAGGCTTCGTCAAAACCCGGTTGGGCCATTTCCGGTTTGGATTGTGGATTTGCTGGAATCCTGTGTACTTGGTGTGTGGGTCGGGAAGCCTATTTTTGCAATAGCTGTAAGTAAGCCAGCTATTATGGAGAGCAAAGGGAATGCGCTGCAATTAGGGAGCACGTACATTTTGGCTGGTAGTAAACTTTGGAGAACTGAAAATGGAGTTAACACGACAAATTACAGCACAATATGACTAATGATGTTGGAGGCTGTTAATCAGATTGATCAGTTGAAATGCTCATACCCTGCATGTGTAATTGGTCCCACTGGCACTTGAAGGTATATGTATCAATCAGCTTAATCTGGAGGAAAAAGTCCTGTGTTCTAGATACGGGTCTTTCATCCGAGCTTCCGACGAAGAATTAGCAAGGGGAAAGAAAGCTATTGACTATGCAGCTATGACATTGCATAACGTGGGCTTTCACCTGGGGCGGCAACGTGGCAGTGACACAGCGGTCTTCATGCTTAGTCTGTGTTCACAACAAGGTTCCAAGTCCCGGTCCAATTTCAAGCGGTCCAATCCAAGGGGCCCCTCCAAGCAACATCGTTCCCGGCGCTTCGATTGTCATGTTGGGGATACCATCGGTCAGCAAGCCCCCGCCCCGGATCAGAACAGGAAGTCGGACCCATCTGTTGTCGAGTCTAGAATGCCAATCTCATGTTTGGTCTCATACATTCAACGTGGGTTGATGCAGGATACGGACATGGAAGTCAGAAATGCTGACCAGGTAGCAAGAAGCGCTTCCATCAAATTCTACGGAATTTCAAGCCTCGAGGTAATACGCATAAAATCACCTCTTTGTCTCGTTCTTTCTTTCTTTCGCTCGATCGTCTTCTAGCGGATTTCGGCGTCCAGGAATCGGATGCCAAAGGATTTGGAAGATTGATCCGTAAACCGTAATGGGACTTTACACCACATGATCCTCATTATTGAGTTCATGCACCTACGTTGTAATTCATGTCTACTGAGATCAAGTTGATCTAGTCCGGGATCAAGATGAAGTAGGTTTGCCGGGTGAGATGATCAAAGTTCCTAGTACCTACTTTGCCAAGGTTTGGATACATTTACCTTAGATTATGCTTATCTTCCAGCATGGATGGCTGGGCTCAGACAAGGTAATTACTAGAAGACTCAAACCAACCAATTCCTAAAACTCAAATCACAGCAACTTCAATCACTTCAACAAAGTAACGTTTCGCATGCTAGTTTTCTCTACCCACGTACTTAGTCATTTCTACATTTGATCTCTCATGAAGTTCCGAGAACCTTCTTCAGAGCCTCGATAATCACCTCAACCTCCTCCACTAAATACGAGAAGACGCGTTAGCTCCCTGGATTATCCAAAAAGGTTGAAGAGCGTAACTCACCGGTGTTGTAGTGCACCAAGCTTACTCGGACAACGCCATCTTCGCCGAGACCGAGGATTTTCTCGGCCAGCCGCTTTGAGAAGAAATGACCCCACCGAATCCCAGCGATGGATTGGGCCTCAACTCCCTCTACGACGCTTTGAGATGATTTCCCCTTTACGGTAAAACTCACCGTGGGAACCCGGGTTGAAGCTGCAGGGGAAACGTCGCCTCGAATGGAGACATCAGGCCGTGACTTCAGAAACTCGAGAAGATGCTTTTGTAAGACTTCTTCGTGCTGAGCAATCTCAGCCCAGGTCTGCTTCGGGTTATCTCCGAAATATGCCACCAGCGGTATGACCGCTTGTGTGAGCTCGTAGCTAGCCGCAGCTAGCTCAAGCTTGTCCATCAAAGTTCCAGACGGATTGAAGTAGTGTCCGAGTGACTGTAGCTGTTCCTGGGCCTTGAAGGATCCGTACAGCAAAGATATGTGCGGACCGTACACCTTTGAGTTGTACACGGTCAGTTTGTCCCGCACAGGTGGTCTCCTTGTGGAATCGCTTACCTTGTACCAAGAAAAGGCATAGAAATCAGCCCCAATCTCTTTTACATCAATCGCACGGTGCGGCGCATAAGCAACACCGTCGACACAGAGTAGGGCCCCCGGGACTTCGTGCACAACATCTGCAAATGCCTTGATATCATGAATGCTTCCCAGGATGTTACTGGCGTGTGTACAAGCTACAAAACGAGTCTTCGGTGTCAAGAGATTCCGAAGCGTCGCCACATCGAGTTTGGGGTTTGAGTGATCAGAAGGTGCCCACCACTTCACCGTTGCGCCCGCGAGAGTTGCATAGTGGAGCCAAGGGTCAATGTTGGACTCATGGTCAACTTCCGAAAGAATAACTTCATCACCAGCCTTCAGCTTGAGAGCTGCTGCAAGGTTACGGAAAGCTTGAGTTGTTGATGGTGCAATTACTGATACGGAGTGTAAGTACATGTGGCCATGGGTGTTGGGCCCTTTCCTTTGAGTCTGGGCATGAGGTGGTGGGCGACCCTTACCAATTTCACCGACATCGGCATTAACGTAATCGGCGGCAACTTTATACGCCTTGTCGAAAGTCTCTGTTGAGATCTTGGAGGTTTTGTAGCTTGCCCCCAGTTGCACGTTGTTGTTCACGAGGTATTCCGAGATGCTGCTCTTTGATGTCAGTGAATGAGCTAGCTTCAGTGTTGCCTACCGTGCCTGCGTCCCTGGAGAATCATGTTTGACCGGCTGTTCCTCACCTCTTTGCGACTGTGCCAAGCACTTGACTTCCACCAGCGTTGTCGCCAAAGATCTGGTTTTTTGCCAAAGCTGGGAACTGGGCCCTAGCCTTCTCAACTGAAAATGTTGAAGCCATCGTGGTTGTCTACTCTTTGAACAAGAATTACTTTTCTTACACTAAGATACGTATAACTCAATCGTAGATCCTCATATCTCCTGAGTCCAGTATTTTTCGCGATGTCGGTTGATGATATGAGAAAGCGTTCAACCCTACATTCAGATTCCACGATGGACTCAGTAGAGAGGATGTTGCCTCAGAACACGCATTGACCTCCCCCCATATGCAAGGTCATAGTCATCCATGCTGGGTCGCAGCGAGCGCATAAGCGACGTCATAATGACCAAGATACCCAACGACAGTCACTGAATAAAACCTGCATAAACTTTATCTACTTCCATTCATCCTCTTCATGTTCTAGACTCCTGAGACAGTGCAGGACGAAACACGGTCATGATGCTGACAGTATGCGGGGTGTCGCTGGCATCAATGAGGCCTGCAGAACTCCACTAGTTGGGTTTTTGGGAGGGCCTGACTTAAGTCTAATCAGATCTAAAAGAGGGGTCCAATGATCATGTAGAGACAGCAACGACACCGCATATTCATGGTGCTTATCGTGCATTATCTTATCAATAAGAATTACTATAACTGGGTCAGAGCTCTCGAGAGCAGACAGGAGGAGAGGTACACACCATCGTGCAGACTGCGAAGTCCAATCCCAACCCCAACTGGCCATCACGCATTTGATCATCGCAAAGGCCGCAGTCAATCTCAACCATACTCTGTCAAGAGATCTCCGGACAAATTCTCGGTCGAGCAATCTGAAAATGGAACACGGTATGGAACTCAGATCGACCCGCCTTCATCGCGATACCTGTAACTAACTGCCCATCAAGTCGTTGAAATCGGGGGCGTCCGCGTTCGGATGACACCTGTCGACGAAAGCCCGAAGACAGCTGTTGCGTTCCAGGATCTCGTTGGGCAGCTGCAGCTGACTACGGCTCTCGCCAGGATCCCTCGACCAATTCCTGATGCCCGTCGTCGTGTTCAAGTACTTGTGTCAGTCGACTTTGATGCGGTATCGGGCTGGATGGGCACAGGGCAACATCCCAACAATTGCCTCGCCGACTTCTCATCGGGTATATTCGCAGGCCGAGTCGGCGTAGGCCGCCTTCTGGGTCTCTTTGACCGTGTCGGCGTCTCCGACAAGGTGACATGGTTTATACCAGGTCACTCTATGGAAACGTTCCCAGCGGAGACGAAATCTATCGTAGAATCAGGCGCGGAGATTGCACTTCATGGTTATTGCCACGAAGACTGTACCAAACTTGACACGAAGCAAGAGGAAGATGTCCTGGACAAGTGTATTGCCCTTGCCGAGTCTTTGACTGGGAAGCGCCCTGTCGGATTCCGAGCTCCTTTGTACCGAATCCGCCATGAGACGATTTCTCTATTGGAGAAAAGGGGGTTCCTTTATGACACCTCACTCAGCGGCCACGACTCACAGCTGTACCCTCTTGACCGAGGCTTTTCTCTCACCCCAGTCGACTATTCTAAGCCAGCACATACATGGATGCAGCCCTCTGTCCAGCCGGAATCTACCGGCATTGTTGAAATCCCTGCCAACTGGTACATGGAAGACATGACCCCCCTCCAGTTTTGGCCCAACGTCGAGAACTCTCACGGGTTTGTGTCGGTCCAGACGATCGAGAAGATGTGGAAAGATCGCTTTACCTGGTTGTGGAGCCATGGTGCTGACGGACGTGGTCCCGGTGACTTCGTCTTCCCCTTGGTCCTCCATCCTGATACCTCAGGCATGGCACATATAGCAGGAGCTATCGAGGATGTGCTACTCTGGTTGAAAAGCTGGGGGTCGCAGGTGGAATTCGTCACATACGAGACAGCAGCAAGGTCATATGTGGAGCAAAAGGGTAATTAGTACATAGTAGACCTCGTTTCTATAACATAATGCCGTACACGAGATAAAATTTCGTCTTCATGCCCACATGCCAGATACGGTATCTTGAGTATGAGAATACTGTTGCCTGAGAAGTGGTCTTGAGGCAGCAAGATGGGTGTCAATCATGAGTCTAAACCTTTTTGATGCTGTGGAAATGTGATCCCTCATAGAGTAAGACTTATCGCAGCAACCATCTTCTACACCTGATACATCGTGAAGATTGTCTAAGGACAAATCTTCCTCAATCGCAGTCTTTAACGTTGCTGTGTCTAACAGATATTTGTAAGGTACTAGGATAAGAAATACCTAAATATCTAGCTGATACACCCTTCATGCGTTAAGTAGGAAATCAGAAAGTCCATACTTAAGGTAGCCTTTACAGCGCAATGATGCATCGGTCCCAGCTATGTTTTTTTTTTTTTTTTTTTTTAATGTTTCTTGCAGTGACGCGGAAAATTTCCGACGTAACCTCATGAAAACAACCGTCATAGCCACAAGTTCCTTCGTCTGACGAATTATCACCAACATCAGGAGTCGCTTATGCGAGTCTCCGCTCGCAATGCAAAGTCAGCGGACGTTTGGGGCCCATACAACATGCCTGTACTGTCACACTATCTGTTGTAAACGGCATCATAGAGGCTGTGATCAACAAAGACGATCGTCATGGCTAGTCGAATCCTCTGGAGGAGGGATAGATGGCGCCTACAAGTATTCGTCAGCCACGTTCCTGTTCAAACGAAAACCTATGGATGAGCATCCTACAGAGACAACAATTCCTACCCTTCTAACCTTTTTGATACGAGCACCATGCCCAATCTTATCATTTTTCAGATCTTTTCTCGGTATATCGGCCTATTTGCCTTAGTCTTGACGATTCCCGGTCTCGCTTTCGTACTATGGCGAGTGGCAAAATACCGGCATATTCCAGGCCCCTGGCCATGCCGAATTTCCCATCACTATATTGCAATGTTCGAATTGATTCGTCAAAGGCCTCAGGCAATCGCAAAATGGCATCGGACGTATGGCCCTTTCGTGCTTATTGCACCCGGAGAGGTGTCAATCTCCGACGTTACGGCTATGCGAGACCTTTACAGCAGTTCTAAGAGGAACCCTAAGAGCGATTATTTTGACCACTTCATTTATCACGGAGAGCGGTCAATATTTGCCGAAAAGCCTTACGAAGAGCACAAGGCGAAGAGAGGATTGTCTTCGGCGTTCTACCAGGCAACTTCCATCTACAAGTCAGAGATACAACAGCCTCTCCGGCAAAAGGCGCTTGGAGTCCGAGAGACACTTGAGAGACATTCCAAGCTGGAGCAAATCATCGATGTATTCCCCGTCATCAACCACTACGCATGGGACAACATCACCGCGTTGGTTTACGGACCAAGGCACTGCTCTCATGCTGTTCAAGGAGACTACACAGATCGCGACATTCTTGCCAGGCTCAAGAACACCGAAATGTGGAACTCCCTCAAGTTCAACCTACCTTTCGCCCACAACATAATGGAAAAGGCCGTTTCCATGTACACTGGCTCGTCCAAATTCCTATCGGCGGAGCGAGACCTCGATGTTTGGGCCATGCAGCGTCTGGCTTACTCACTTTCTGATCCCAAGTCATCGTCTGATTGGTCGCTCATCCGCCTCATTCAAGATCTCCGACTTGCTGGTCGTGATATCTCTGATGATTACGTGGCATGCGAGGTGATTGATAACCTCCACGCGGCTCAGGCTACCGTCACTGTTGCTTTGACGTATGTGGTCTACCACCTGAGCCGGAACCCTGACTGGCAGGCCAAGGTTCGAGCTGAGATTGAGGCGCTACCGCGGGAAGATGACGGTCTCCCGGTCTGGCAGTTGCTCGACAAAGCCCCTATTCTAGAAGCGTGCATAAGAGAGTCATATCGGATCAATCCAGTTTCTAGTGGGCGAGCCGAGCGCATATTGGCCAAGGGCACCCGATACGGCGATGTTTACATTCCCCCATACGTAAGTTGCCGGTTGCACTCCTGCTGCCGTAGAACCCAAGCCAGTATTCTACACGCCGTTCTAACATTTACCCATGTAAAAATTAGACCGTTGCATCCGCTTCGACCATTGCGTTGCACCTGGACCCGTCAGTCTTTCCCGAGCCGCTGGAATTCAACCCAAGGCGGTGGTTAGACGTCCAGCCTGAAGGCTTGTTAAGACTGGAGCGGTCTTTCATCCCGTTCGGGTATGGTGCCCGTCTATGCCTGGGCAAAGCATTTGCGACTCTCCAGGTGAAGATGTTGATATCTGCTGTTCTTCTCACGTTCGAGACTACATTGGACGAACCAAGTCGTATCATGGAACAATGGGGAACACAGGATGCTTTGCCGAAGGGGCTCAACTGTAAACTCCGTTTCCGGAAGAGACAAGATGTTTCATGAACAGAGCCGATGTTTAGTCGGATGAACCGGTAGCATCGGGACCTGACAGCTTGTCAAGAGACGGGACATGGAAAATAGTTCCGGTGGGGGAGGATCATTGTCTAGTGAGTAGCATAGTACCACAAAAAAAAACGAACGGGAATATTCGTAAACGGCTTGACCAAGAAACTTTCTCAAAGTGTCTTGACATTGCATCGCCAGCAGACCACAAAGGGTCTGGTTTGAGAGCGTTACGCCTAGGCCTAGCATTATTAAGGAGCTGCTGATCTTGGACACGTTGGCTGACTCGCTTTCCCCCAGTAGGTAAGAAACGTGCTTCCTTCGTGGTCTGACAATCAAACGTTCAAACCCTATATGTATTGGCATGCCTAGACCGAGCATGGAGGTGCGGCCGTTTGCGCGCTTCGGCGCGGGGAATAATGTCCGCAGTTGATCCCACGCGGAGCCCTCCCGTTGCATTTTCCCCGGGATCTCGGCACCGGGGTCGCTATGCTGGTACTAGGATTTGATGCGAGAATCCTTCCCCCTTCCCCTGGAGGCTTGTGGGACTCGCCGGCGGTGTGGATACAAACGCCTCAGCCTCGGTAGCACCGACACTGCCTTGGCGAAAGTTTAAGGTGCAGGAGGATTTCGAGAGACCCAGGTTGTTGAATAGTGTCACGGAAGGACGGGCTTTACTCCATGACGTGCTGCCGATATTCATATTGTTCCTGCCCGCTGCGGCCCGTCATTAGGCCTGTCTGTCTCTGATGTGTTTGATGCGGTTAAGAAATACTTCTGCAGCTTCCTGCAAGTTCAGCGCTTGACTGCATTCCGTACTTTTTTAGTCTTTTTTTTCTTCTTCGCTATACGGACCGAGTGCAGGTTGTGCTCTGAGTAGTTTATTTACAGTTGCCGCCACCATGAACACCATGAGCTGTGAGGGTGACATGAGGTCTCTTTTGATGGCCCTTACAGTCAACCCGGCCGAGCGGAGGAGAACACAAAACCGACTGGCAAAGCGAAAGTCCCGTATGCAACCTCAAAACCAACACACCTTACCCTGCCTACACCCTCACTTCACTATCTTTACCCTCACTCCCAGCCCAGCCCAGTCCAACACATGCCACAGCACATACCACAGCACATGCCACAGCATCATCCGTTATCATCCATCCAATAGAGAAGAGACGTTTAGAAACCAACAAGTCGATTTATTCTAGGAGCCAAGGGAAAGAGTGCCGCAGCAGCCGCCGCAGCAACGAGCCATGTCGCGTCATCATCCACAGCAACATCAGCAACAACGACGAGGAGGTCAAGAAGCGCTTCTTCTTCACCCCCAACGGTCACAGCAAGTGTGCTTACGCGTCTTTACGGTACCATTGTCACGAGAGTCTGGGCTAATGAGATTCTGCAGGACCTCACATACACCGCAGCACTTGCCGATCCGTTCGGTTCACTTCAGACCCCGCCGCATGAGTCGACCCAAGACTTTGGGCAGGCAGCAGTAATTTTCCCTGCTTCGGAAATGGGAGTGTCTGGAGAAGCTGCTCCACGGACGCTGCAACGAAACGCTGTCACTGATGACCTTGACGCGAGCTCATATTCAGCTGGAATCCCCCACAGCTTGAACACTGTCGAATTCATCGAGCCGTGGACATTAGACGCCAGCATGACACTCATGACACCAAACAGCAGACACGAAGACATGTCAGACCTTTCAACAGAAGATATCCTCACATTAGGGGTAAGTTGTATATCTCACTTCGTCCTACCATCACTTCCTTAATAGCACAGATGAGGATTTCTTATATAAGTAAGTCAAACCCCCCACTTCCCGGCACCCCCCTGTTTCTGGCACCCACAAAAACGCGAAAATCCACCACAACGCAATGCCCACCCCCAACCTCCTTTTATCACAACATTTTCAATTCGAGTCCAAATGGGCTCATTTTTTGCACATACCTTCTTCTATATCTAATGCCTCAATATACCGAAGATCAGCTTCGTCAGGCTCTCGAGGACATCTCAAACGGCAAGAGTCAAAAGAGAGCCTCATTGGAGTATGGGATACCACGATCAACCCTCCAACTACGTCTCCAAGGTGGTCAGACTAGGAAAGTGGCTTTGCTGACTGGCAGAGGCTGTCTCCTGACCAGGAGAGTAAGCTGGCACAATGGGTTCGCATTCAGGCTTCGCTGGGCCTCGCACCAACGCACCAACAGGTGAAGGAATTCGCAGAGCGAGTTCTGGCTGCTGCTGGGGATACCAAACCATTAGGAAAAGGCTGGATCTATGCCTTCGTGAGAAGGAACCCTATCATTAAGGTTCAGAGAAGTCGTTCCATCGATTCTAGACGCGTTAATGGGGCATCTACTGAGGTCATTAGGAACTGGTTTAAGTTCCTTGCTATCCCTGAGATCAAGGACATCAAACCAGCCAACAGATATAATATGGATGAGACTGGCATCCTCGAGGGTCAGGGAGCTAATGGGTTAGTGCTGGGCATGGCTGAGACGACGTCTGTTCGCAAGAAACAACCTGGGTCGAGGGCATGGGTCTCTATCATTGAGTGTATCTCAGCCTTGGGTAGGGCACTTCTCCTCTTATCATTTTCAAAAGACGGTCCAACAACAGTGGTTTCCATTACATCTGGTTCCATACGATGGGTGGGAGTTTACAGCAACAGATAATGGCTGGACTACAGACTTAACTGCCATTGAATGGTTAGAGAAGGTGTTTATCCCACAGACTATGCCCGAGGCTGAGGGCGAGGCTCGACTGTTGATTGTGGATGGGCATGGGAGTCATACGACGACAGACTTCATGTGGAATTGCTATATTAACAATATCCATTTACTGTTCTTACCACCACACTCTCATGTCCTCCAGCCACTTGACCAGTCTGTCTTCAGCCCTGTTAAGTCAGCCTATCGGAAGGAGCTCGGTTACTTGTCTCAATGGAACGACTCTACCATTATAGGTAAAAGGAACTTCCTGGACTGTTACCAGAAGGCTCGACTTGCTGGTCTATCAGTCTCGAACATCAGAAGTGGTTGGAAGTGGACTGGTCTACACCCTGTAGCGATGGTTAAGCCCTGATGAACCCTATGGTATTACCTGAGCCTTCTGCTGCTGCCCACCACACCCAAACCAACCAGTCGGGGCAAAAAGCGATGCCATAATGGTCAACAAACTACCCCTGTTGAGCCATGGGATTCTGCTTCCTCTGCAGTGGTCTGGTCGACACCCAGGAAGCTGGCAGAGCTCAGCGGTCAACTGCACTTATACACCCAACTCGACAATGATACCAGCACTCAACGGCTGCTGTTCAGGAAGGTGAAAAAAGGCTTCACAGAGCAGGCCTGGCAACTGGCAGCTGCCCAGCAGCAGCTGGCTCACCTGAGGGCCTAAGTTACCAACGCTGCAGTTAGGAAGAGGAAGACTGTTCAGATCGATCCCAACACGAAGTTTGCGAACATCAGGGATATCCATCGGGCTCAAATCGAAGCGGGTGAAAAGGAGGTTATTACGGCTGAATCCAGCGACTCTGAATGCCCTAGTGAGGCTGGCAGTTGTATTGTAGTGGGTGTGGTTGAGGATCAATAGTTAATAGTAATGAGGAGGTTGGGTTGTGATCCCATCGTTTTTGTGGGTGCCAGAAACAGGGGGGTGCCAGGAAGTGGGGGGTTTGACTTACTCATTCGGAACCTCTCACATTTCATTTTTCTGCCCTAAATCTCAGCAACGATCAAAAGTTCCGTTGCTTTGCACGTTCATTTGCTGACAATATGGGGAAAGTTTGCGAGGCCAACTCAAGGAAGCCCTTTGCACATTGCAGCAACACACGGCCACATCAACGTAGCTAAAACGCTGATCCTCCACGGTTCGGATGTCAATGCCGCGGATAAAGCTGGGCTGGCCCCGATCCACTACGCGACGCAAAACAACCAAGGTCCCATGGTGACCATGCTTGCGGAGCATGGAGCTGACGTCGACTTCTTGGACCCGGACGGTTGCACGCCTCTCTATAGAGCGGCGGAAAGTGGGAACAAAGCAATGGTTGAGCGTTTACTGCGACACGGAGCGAAGCTGAGCTAGGAAAGTAACAGAAACGGAAACAAACGACTCTGGCACGGAGTCAGAGTAGCATGGGAAACGGAGGAGTATTGTCAAATTTGGTGGTAATCTAAGTTTGCTTGTGTAGAATAGGCCTGTTATCGAACATGTTCACAAATCAAGATCATTCTATACGTGTTACTCAACCCACTTCTCATGTGGTGCCGCATTGCAAGGTGACCCATGTGTGCCAAAATCCGGGTCGTTCTGATGCCTGTGCTTCTCAGTCAGCCTCAACCGTATCTTGAACGTTACACACGCCCAGGTCGCCAAAAAGACCAGACATCGAAGTCATGTTTAACTTTTGCTGCCCATGCAAAGAAGCTCGTGTTGTGGAGCTAAGCATGCCGTGAACCCGTCTTAGTTCTCACGAGTAATTCAGGAGACGTGCGATTTCAGTCCCTTGGCCAAGCAAGCAGAGCTAAACTATCAAATTAGCACATGGGTATCTTCGCATAGCCATCTGGCCCAGCTCGGCAGATACACGGACTCCGGATTAACGCCTGGAACGATTGATGCCTTTCGATCATTCGAAGTGGTTAAGTTTACAGAGCAACTTGCCAACAGAGGAGGGCGTCCGAAGACGGAACTTCTCTGTGGGGCCGGCCGCCACAGCATCGGAGCCAGAATGTTTTCATCCCCCTGTAGCCATGGCTTTTCAAACGTGCTGACGATGCAGCGTCTGTCACAACAACGTGTCTGGTTTGGATACGACTGGAATAGAACACTCTCGCAATATGAAAAGCAGTGAGGTCACATACACATGTCGTAAACATTGAGATTGACGAGGTGTTTAGACGCTGCACAGACGCCCGCACGGATGGATCATAGGATGACTTTGCGTCCAATCTGACGTTCGCTTTTCCAGCTGACGAGACATTCCCAGCGCCAGGTGAATGACAGAACAAAAAATCAATGGTTCTTTGGATTCAGTTATGAAGCTCGTGATATCCTTATGATATCTATTAAAGAAGCCTTGGGCCAGGTTGGTGTCTCGGTCACTCATTGTCCCGTCAAAGTAATACACAGCATCTACAAGATTCAATCGAAGGTTGCGCATCGTTCATTGCTGAATACTTCACACAAGCATGGCGGAACAGAGCTTCAACGAGCAGCTCCTGCAGCTATTGGCTGCAACACGAGATCTCCACTTGCGAGACGAGGGGACACCCAACGGTGGTAAGTGTCCAAATGTCCATATCCCCTGTTCATCGCTAGACAGACCTGATGCCCAGATTAGGAACGTCGGATATAGAGACTAAAAGCGCCGAGCATCCTCTGGTTGTTCTTTCTGCCCTGGCAGCTAGACTGCAGCGAGATGGCAAGGAGAAAGAAGCGAAAACAATTCTGCAGGTCGTCAGCATCGCCACGGCGTCCCCCGACTACGGCGGTATGGGTTTGACCTGGACCGGGGAGTTGAGCGCAACGGACCGCAGCGAGCTGATTCTGCTCACATCTGCATGTAAGCATACTTCCTTTCTTTTGCTGTGCCGCGAACTCCCAGTCAACCCCTGGTTTTGCCGCATTTATTGGATGAACACTGATCGGGAACGACTTCCTTCATTAGGGCTCGAGAGTCTGAATTCCAACGATCGACGGGGGGGACCGATCGTTCCCTTAGTGAGCCGGCCTGCCGGCCGCCGCCCCATGAATGTTACGGAAAAGATATTTGCTCTGCATGACGTGACTCGCACAGGATGGGTCCGAACAGGGGACACAATTAGAGTTTCTGTCGACTGGATCATGGCTAGCGAGGCTAGCTGGCATGTATGTTTACACGTTACCCTCACCTCTAAGTCCCCACAGGCCTGGATGGCTTGCTGACGTTGAACTAGGGCATGCTTCAAGTCTACAACAAGCTGGGAGACCCTGGAATTTTCTCGAATTCCAACTTCTGGCTGGCTGGCGATCATGTGGTTGATCCAAGGCTGATGGACACGCCCCTTGTGCAGAAGCTGGTTGGCGAGATGGACTTTGCTCGTAAGAAGTTCAAGATGACACAGTTCCAGGGCAACAATTACACCATCATGCACACCGAGTTCTACCGTGAGCGGGCCCAACCAGGCCAAATCATCATTGGCTCGGATTCGCACACATGTAGCTCTGGGGCCGACGGTTGTCTTGCGATTGGACTGGGTGCAACCGAGGTCACGATGGCTCTGGTTACTGGAGAGATCTGGTTCAAAGTTCCCGAGGTCGTCGAGATCCACCTAGTGGGCAAGCCCCAGCGCGGAGTCGGAGGTAAAGATATTATCCTCTATATTCTTCAGCAACTTAAACGGAATACGGTTGCTGCGGATCGGGTTGTTGAGTATACAGGCCCCGGGTGCCGATGGTTGAGCTCCGACGCCCGCTTTGCCATTGCAAACATGACTACCGTAAGCAATTGCCTTTGTTTTTACCCTTTTTGATCTCACTGAGTCGATTCCTATTTATCCCGCCGGCACGGCATGCAGACCCTTGGCACTTTGCACTAGGTTTCAGGGTTGGCTAACTTCAAAATCAGGAGTTTGGTGGCATCACAGGGATATTCGTGCCCGACGAAGTCACCAAAGACTTTATCGATGCCCGTAAAACAGCCCATCACAGGACCGCATCGTACTACTTCAAGCCTGATGAGGGATGCTCCTATGCGGAGTCACATACTATCGACGTCTCTCTGGTCGAGCCCTTTGTGGCCAAGTACCCGAGCCCCGATGATGTAGTGCCGGTGTCCGATGTGGCAGGTACTCACCTTGATGGCGTCTTCATCGGTGCTTGCACAACAGCGGAGGAGGATCTTGTCATGGGCGCGCTTGTGCTGCAGGCTGGCTTGGACGCGGGAAGGAAGCCGGTGGCCCGGGGAGAGCGCCGCGTTGTCCCCGGAAGCCGCCCCATCGCCGACTACCTTCGAAAGACAGGCCTCGCAGACATTTACGAAAGAGCGGGCTTCATCATTGGCATCCCTGGATGCAGCTACTGTGTTGGTATGGGCGCTGACATGGCCAAACCTGGGGAAGTCTGGCTTAGCAGCCAGAACCGCAATTTCGAGAACCGTATGGGCAAGGGTAAGTCTCGTGGGATACACTCACGATCGTTCTTATTTCCCTGTCTGTCCCTTTTTGGCCAAAACTGCCCGCAGATTTGCCCCGTTTCCTGGTGGACCCGCGAGCAGTTTTGTGATATTGCACAAGAGACCCCTCTCAAGACCCTCTCGAGACCCAAACTCAGCTGAGAACAAATGCAACGCTGGACAATGTAAGCTGACAAGTGGCATGACAGGGGCTATCGGCAGTTTGGCGTCCGCTGCAACGGTGGCTGCGTCGTCTTTTGACATGGCTGTCACTTCTCCACAAGATCTTATTGACCTCATCCCAGCGGATCGATGGGCCGCCGTCAAGGGCAAAGGATCCCTTGCCGATGGTATCCTCAGCCAACCGCAATGGGTGGAGCCGCCAGGCCAAGATGCCGAAGAGGATGCGAAGAACGTTGCGGAGGATCAGGGACCCAGCACGTCCGGCGAGGACGCGGCCGCCGACCAGGCTAAGCCCGGCTCCGGGACCATTAGGAGTAAGATCTTCCGTCTAGGAGATTTTGTTGACACCGATGCGGTAAGCCACCTTTCCCTTGCTTCGCTTCCGATTCGCGAATTGCACATGAAGCCAGCAAAAGAGACGCATAAGAAACAATGTTCTAACGGGCCGTCCCGCAAATAGCTTGCGCCTGCACAATACCTTCTCACATCCAAGAACAACGAGGAGCTCGGCACTCATTGCCTCGAGTTCACCAACCCTGAATTCCGGCAGCTCGTTAAGGAAGGTCACAAAGTCATTGTTGCTGGCGATGCGTTTGGCTGTGGATCTAGTCGTCAAGAGGCTGTGCAAGCTTTACTAGGTGCGTCGGAGTCTCATTCCCTCAATCCTTTGCATGTTCCTTTGCACATAAGCCCCCTCGCTCTCGGTGATTCTTACCGCCGCATTGTCCGTCAAAGAGTTTGTCCGCCGGCAGAAATGAGTCTCCGAAGTGATCATCATCATCATCATCGTTATCACCATCCTTCATTCCTTCGTGCCGTTCCTTCGTTCGTAATGGTAGGCTGACCAGACGTTACTGTATTAGGCGTCGGTGTCGAATGTGTCATCGCAAAGGCATTCGCGTTCATTTACAGCCGAAACCAGCCGTCCCTGGGTCTGTGGGGCTTCACCATCGACGATCCCTTATTTTACGAGAAGGCGCAGACAGGAACCAGCATTGAGATCGACCTGGATCGCAACGTGCTGACTGTCGACGGCGAGACCTTCGAATTTCAGTTGTCCGTGCTCGAGAAGAAGCTGACCAAGATGGGCGGCATGACAAATGCCTTCAACCAATTTGGCAAACGCATCTACGACGTCTTGACGGGTCGCAAAGCCTCACAGGGCGGCGTCGCAAAGGAACTCAAGGCTAAACCTGCCCAAGATGTCATGGCATGGTGATCATGCACATGTGGGCTCTACGGATGTTAAGGGGCCGGTGGAGGGGACTAGATTTATGCAGGGTCTCGACCCGTGGTTCAGCAGGACATGGAGTTGAACAAGTCGTAGTCGTACCATATCCAGGTACTTAGTGTACGGCGTAATAGATTGTCACCGTATACCGTACGGATATTAGTATAGCCTTCAAGCTTTTTTTTGCGCGCGCGCTACGTCTTCGGTGACTCTCAATGATTTTGGTGTTTGTGTGTTGGCAGCTTGGCATTGGAAGGCCCCTCCTGAATCATCGTTTTCCGCAGTATTCGTGTAGGTCTAGGCGCAAATATTTACATTGGACAGCGATGACCTCGGTGTAGAAACCCTTGAAAAGCTAATTTTGGGGTCCAGATCCATATTCAAAAGACCCTTACACCATCTTTGGTCAGCAGTAGCTGCAGTGGCTGCAGGCTACATCAGTAAGAGCCAGAGCAGACCTTACAGGCCTAGAATGGCTGTTGCAAGGGCTCAGACGGGGAAGCCGGGGCCAAATTCTGGCCATGCTGCATGTTCTGTATGGCATTTCTTGATCGCAAGCAGCTGTGGTACGATGTAGGCGGGTGACTGACTCGAGCGAACACAACGGCTGTTCATCGGAAACTATGTCCCACATCGCCAATACCTGAGGTCAATAGTGTAGCAAAGGTATGTCTTTCTGCAAGCGAGGCAAGCTGCGAAACAGCGGCCGAATATGCGATCGTATCGTACCCATGGTAGGATGATTGGCCCAAGTCAAGTCTGTAGAGGAGCATTGCAACGCTTGGCGACCTGCTCTAGAACCGACATTCTAGTTAGCTTGCCCGAGTTTTAGTGGATTGACTGACTCAACGACTGGGATACCCTTCCTGGGTAATGTTTGCGCTGTCACTCGGAATCATTATAACACAATTATAGATGCAAGGCGGGACAGCTGTGATACTGCAAGTGTTCAAGAACCCCGCAAAATGAATACGCCCGTAGCTCGAGCATCTTACTCGTGGATCCACCTCCTGAAATCAGGATATATTACCCAGTCCTCTATTGATTCCACCAGGAGTCAACACGGAGCACTCCTTGGTAAGTTTCAAGGGGACGCCCACCGGCCCGGTTTTTAAGAAACGAAAGCACACAGCAAAGCTCCATACGTATTCGTACTGCGTATTTCGAGCGGAATGACCCTGATGGACTTGGAAAAGCAATCTATCTTGAGCAATGCGCAACTCTATCCATCTCTGCCCAATGGCCACAGTTGGGGTCTATCCGCTTCGTATGATACCTATAAATCCAAAAACAAAAAACGTGAGTCGTTCGCCGCCTCAAGACCTCGGTACCGAGAGTTACTCCGGAGACTTCACTGACCCAGTGTTGGTGATCCGCTCAATGTCGTTGCGCAAAGCAACGTCATCGAGTTCTTCCACCCAACCCCACGGCTCTGTATACAGGCCCCGCTTGATTCCTTGCAACCTGTCTGTCAACCTGGCATAAGCGGATTGCGGAGACTGCGCATCGACGGTAAACGCGAACCGCTCGCCAGTCGACTCGCGCTCAATGGCGCTTACGGGCACCAGCGATGATGCGGTGCCGACGGTGTAGACCTCAGAAAAGTCGCCAAGCTCTGTGAACGGGATCTAAAGCCATGACGCCGGGACATTATTAGCGGTAATCTCCCATAAAACTCAAAAACTTCCGCCGAGATCTCGCTCCTCCCCCACATGGAACGTTGAAGAGAGGAATGGAACGCTGAGAGAGCAATTGGCTCATGGTGGTGGATCAAACGAGAAACTCAAAACTTACGGGACGCTTCTCAACCTTCCATCCAAGTTCCTGGGCAATTTGTCCCACGCTGTCAACTGTGATACTTGGGAGGATATGCTCGTCTTTGGGGATGACCATTGTAGGCGGGGCTCCAGTCACAGCCGATTCTGCCTTGATTCCAATAAAGCCGCTAGCAGAGAACTCGTGGATGAAGGACTGCGTCTCGGCGTCTAGGTGGAGTGTCAACCCGTAACCTTGCTTTCGTGCCCGTCCCATTATCGGAATGGTGGGCCCATAATTCCCACCGACTTTGAAGGCACCGGTGCCTTTCGGCGCCGTACGATCGAATCCCTCCACAACCAATGCTTTGAGGCCCGTTGCTCCATACAACAGCCCGACCGGCGTGACCAAGACGGCGAACGTGTACTCCTCCGCCGTGTACATGTTCATAGTCGGGCTGCTTGCAAAGACGACTGGGCGCACATACATGGAGCACCCACCCTCGAACGGAGGTACAAAATCGCTGTTGAGTTGAACGGCCAACCGCACCGATTTGGCAAACAAATCGGCCGGGACGGCCGGAATGTCAACGGCAGCGGCAGACCGCGCGAATCGGGCCGCATGGCTCGCTAGCCGGAAAAGCTGGACGCTGCCTGACTCGCTGCGAAAGACGCGTAGCCCCTCAAAGGCTTGCTGCCCGTAATTAAGCGCCGGGGACAGGCCGTGAACTCTTAGGTAAGGCTCCTGTACCCAGCGCGGTTGGCTCCAAGTGCCGGACTTGACTGTAAATGTGCATTCGATGTGGCCGTTTACTAAGCACTGTTATTACCACCCATCCAACCCAAAAGCTCTTTTAACGGGTGTCATCGCTTGCACCATGTTGACTGACATCAGACCACAGTGACCCCATTCATAAACGGACTGACCTTGGAAAGGCGTAAAACCGATTTTGCTCCATTCTACGTCCGTCTTCGGCGGACGAACTGCGAAGAGCATCTCGCTCTCGCTCTCGCCAGGCGCTGAAGAATGTGCGGGAATAGAACCCATGGTAGCAGATATTTCGTAAGAAAAACGAGGATCGTGGTGCCGACAGCCGGTAGAACAAGTCACTACAGAAAAGTCGCAGTGATAGAAGAACAGCTTAAGTCAATAAAGTAGGTAATGGAAGTTGACCAAAGCGACGATAGCCCCCATTTGAATCACGCTCGACTATGGCTCTCTTAAACTGCAATTCTACGGTCCGATAACGAGATGCTGAATACATTAGTCCGCACTCTCAAGTTGGTTATCTTCCATAGCTGACCGTCAGCGTCTGACCACAATCTCTAGCTAGAACATTTCCCGCTTGACCATACAGCTGTGGGAGTCTTGCAACGCGTTGTCCGGCGCATCTGGAACGCCACTATCTGTAGTAGTAATACTCTAGCCACAGTATCTCATTGAGCCCGTCTCCAGTCTTAACTGGCTGTGCCGTATGCAAAGTCCCTTGGCTGTACGCGCTGCTCCGTGGTTCCGTTGGGGACGGCCATGTGGGCCTGGGGATTTAAACTTTCTCGGGGTTTTGTGACACGGTCACACGGAGGAGGCCTATAATCAGTATTGTCTTGCCGCCGAGTTCCGATTGACCGAATCGAAGGGGGTCATGTTGGGGCGCCAGGGCCAAAAGACTAATGGACCCTTGTTTCTTCGTTGGAACATCGTAAGACGGTCGACTAGCCGGGACCAGGGCCATATGCGAGGTCAGCAAAATCATCATACTCGCAGGGCGGGTGAGCCCCTGATCTACGGATAGATTCGCATTCCCGTCACATTCTCAGCCTGAATGCACAGTCTTCTCTCTCTGTCACTGGAACTGCTTACCTCCAATGCATTGTCCGGCAGGCAAGCAGCGTCAACATCATGAACCCCCAAGTTATGTCTGGCCGAGCTCGGCTCGAAGGAAACAATTGCAAAGCCAAACATGAGAATGGACAAACTCAATCGGGAGCCATGTGTATACTTGAAGAAGGAAAACGCGATCTAGATCTCATTTATGAAGATTCAGCAATTCTGTTCAATTGCTTTCCCATCTAACTTCTAAGCCAAACCACCGAGAAACTGTAATTTGTCAAAATGACTGCTACGTTCAAGATTGTTGTTTTTGGTGGAGATTACGCCGGGCCAGAGGTATGCCCAACTTCCCCAGCTCACCCACACACCCTTTGAGGTGGATGAGTTCCGTCATTAATCATAAATGCAGGTCATGTCTGAGGGGCTCAAGGTCCTTCATGAAGTCGCCCTCCGCCACCCCGAAATCAAGTTCAACCTGACGCATCACCCCATAGGCGGAGTATGTCGACACCGAAGTTTCTGCCAGACCGCGTATTATGACGCTTTCTAACCCTTTTCGTCACAGGCATCATTTGATCTCCACGGAAAGCCGATCCTTCCCGAAGCTCTTCAAGATGCAAAGGAGGCCGATGCAATCCTGCTAGGCGCAGTCGGTGGCACTGTAAGACACCCATGCCGGTAACTGCCCTCGACAAACCGCCTTGCTGACCACAAGCTCCAAAGAAATGGGCAGGACAGGTTCCATCCGTTGAAGCCGCGAGTCTCGGAACTCTGCGCCGCGAACTAGATGCATTCGGCAACCTGCGTCCGATCACTTTCCCCGCCCCGTCCCTAGTTGACACGTCGCCAATGAAGGCCGACATTTGTAGAGGCACCGACATTCTCATCGTTCGCGAGCTTACTGGTGGTATTTATTTTGGACACCGAGAGCGCGGCGATCTCATTGCCAAAGATACGGACCAGTACACCTATGAGGAGGTCGCCAGAGCAGCGCGGTTGGCTGGCAACCTGGCTAGGTTAACAACACCGCCTAAGCCCGTCATCAGCCTTGACAAAGCAAACGTGCTCGCGGCTTGCGGCAGCTTTTGGCGTCGCGTCGTCACCGAAGTCTTGAGCAAAGAGTTCCCCGATGTCCGTTTCGAGCACCAGCTTGTGGACAGTGCTGCCATGACTCTGGCCTGCAACCCAACCAAGCTCAACGGCATCGTGTTGACGAGTAACCTATTTGGTGACATCATTAGTGATCAAGGAAGCGCCATTGCTGGCAGCATTGGTCTTCTCCCCAGCGCTAGTTTGCGAGGTATCCCACCGCAATCCGGCAGTAGCATGATAAAAGGCTTGTATGAGCCAGTTCATGGATCCGCGCCAGATATCGCCGGAAAGCAGTTGGTCAATCCTGTTGGCATGATCCTTTCTGTTGCCATGATGTTCCGTTACTCTCTCAACATGCCCGAAGCGTCTGATCTGATCTGCAAGGCTGTTAGCGATGCGATTGAGTCTGGTATTCGGACTTCGGACTTGGGGGGCACGGCGACGACAAGCCAATTCGGCGATGCAGTGGTCAAAATCATTTCTCAACTTCCTTGAGAGGGGGAAAGGCACATTAGTTGTAGGCTAAAGGGTATGGCTAGCACGAACTCCCAGACATGGATGCGAGTATTACAATCCGGGATTCATAGACTATACAAAGAGGCGAAGGCATGACAGGGTAGAAATATGCTCCCGGGCGGTTACATTGCACTCTTGATATTACCTAAAATGCACACCATCTGAAAAGTCTGACACTAGTTGCTCTATCTTTAAAAGAACGTACGGATACACTGAGTGCCTTTTGTATTGTTAGGAGCTAGTTCGATGATCGGGTCTTAGAAGATAATTCCACGGTTGGTACACAGAGTCGGAGAAAGGTTTCTCTTGGTAGGTCAACAAACACAGATTGACGTGATCAAGACGCGGAGTAACCGCCCAGTCAAAGTCCGGTTTCTGGTCAAAACCAACTTGACCCAATGGCTCGTCAAAGCTTCTTCTCTTAAAAGAAGCATTGTCACCACTAAAGCTCAAGAAGTCGCTAACCGTCGTCACATTTTAGACCCCCTTACCCCTGTTGCACACGTTTCTCGTGTTGGTTGGATAGTGGTCTGTTACAACTAGACCCGCTTAGAAGTGACCCCGGAGGGTCAATGGAGGGTCGATCATGCCGAGTCGCCGGCGGTGCTGGAGGGAGGACGCGTCATTTGCGAGACACAGAGGTCGACCAACTTGCTTTCCCTCTAGGCACCAGCCTTGGCACTCTAAACGCTCGGAATGCAGTCGATGCCGCTTTGAGATAGTCTTTCAGTGCCCATCATCTTTAAGTTGGATATCGAAGCCAACTTGAAGGATTTGGTTGGCAAAGTTTTGCAATGATATCGAGTGGAAAAACAGCGGATTTTCATTTTCTAGACTAAACGACCATCATATGGAATGTCTTCCTATGTTTGCTCGCTGTAAAGACTAGTACTTGTTCATCCTCATCTTTCTCTTTCTATTTTACCTCGGCACTACCGGAGCAAGCATAATGTTCCCAACACCGACGCTGATGATTCGGGACGATGGCGATGATGATCCTCCGAGAACAGATTGCACGAGTGCGGTGCCGGGGCCGAACGGAGCGGTTCCTTGGGACGCTTGCAATTCAAATTACAACTTCCATCCCGAATTGACACCCGCGATCGCAACAGCTTCGATATTTGGTGTTCTGACTTTGGTTCATCTTATCGAAGCTATATGGTACCGAAAAGTAAGATGATGCATCCGAGACTTCCCTTGAATTGGTCTTCTCTTTTCACAAAGAGCAACGCCAACCATCGGAATAAGTTAGTGAAGAGTATCAATACTGACATTGACCACCGCATAGCCTTTCACATGGACAGTTCTTATGGCGGCAAGCTGGGAAATGGGCGCATTCATTCTTCACGCATATGGCTCGCAAGATCAACAAGCCCAGGGGTACGCCACAGGCCATCAGGTGCTATTCCTATTGGCTCCTGTATGGCTCAACGCCTTTGTGTACATGACATTTGCGCGAATGGTTTACTTCTTCCGACCAGGCGGAGAGCCTCGAGTTTGCTACATTCCAGCAAGATGGCTTGGGCGCATTTTCGTCGTTGCTGACATCGCCACATTCATCGTGCAGGCCACGGGAGGTGTCATGGCTGGTCCAACAGTAGAGCCTAATACAAGGGCAAAGGGGGTCAAGATTTACATCATCGGCATGGGTGTCCAAGAGGGCTTCATTGTGGTGTTCTTGATGTTGATGGCTCGCTTCCATTATCGTGCTCTACAAATGAACAGAGAAGATGTGTACGGACTGGAAGGCGGTTCGTACGACCGGGAGGATGAAGAAGGCTACATGCCACGACGGAACTGGAAAGCCCTTCAGTTTGCACTTTATGCAGCTTTGCTTGCAATTACGGTTAGTCCTACCCTAATCCTACCCTCTACGATGCCTTTGAACGCAATTTTACTGACGGCTATTGGCACGCTTAGGCCCGTATCATTTTCCGTCTCGTCGAGTTTACCGGAGGCATGACTCCTGAGGAGAACCCCATACCTTTTACAGAAGCATACGCATATGCCCTAGACGCCTTCCCCATGATGTTGGCGTTGCTTATTCTCGCCGTGATACATCCTGGTCGAGTCCTTCAGGGTACGAATAGCGAGTTTCCCAGGAAGGGATGCCGACAGAAGCGTAAGGAGAAGAAGGAGAAAAAGGCGGTAAAGAAGGCAGCCAAGCAGGAGCGCAAGGCAACCAAAGAGGAGAAGAAACGAATCAAGAACGACCGGAAAAAGATGAAGAAATATGGAGAGGTACCTGATGCAGAACCGGATAGCTATGGGATGGGGCTGATTGATGGGCAGAACCACGAGCCCATGCGATATGCAGACTACGCTAGGTACGCCAGATGAGTGTTGAACCCGAGAAGCTATGACAGGACTCAATCATTCACATTTATCAGATAATCAACATCTCTGTGTACATGTACTCATGTTTGCAAGGCTACCTGCTGTCTTTTCGCTTTTTCAACAACACTTTTATCCGCTGTTCGTCTACACCACCCAAGGAACACAGGTTCCTACCACGTAAATAGACTGACCACAATGCCCAACGCCGCTTCATCGAGAGAATTAGACCTGGTGGACCCGAGTTGGCCAGCGAGACAAGTAATTTACCCCAGAAACGTCGCTTTTGAGAACACATCCGTAGTCCGCTTATTCATGAGAGCCGTTACTGTTGCTCGCTGAAAATACCGCCACCTCGTTTAGAATGAATCTTTCTTCAACTTCCTTCGCTCTCTCTTACGACTTGGCGCTCTCCTTACACCTTTGGATGCAACGTAGGCTATTCATGTCGGCGTCAGATTCCAGACTTCTTACGAATACACGTCGTAGCTGACATTGCATATGTATAATGGATCCGGATCCTGGCATATTGACAAGACCCAAGGAGGGGGCACCCCTGGTGGATCTGCCAACGCTTTTGAGTTTTGTCTGTGCATGCATGTCATCCCGAATTTCGGGAATGACACGAGCAGTACACAACGTGTTGATGTGAGGAACTGATCATGGCTTGAAGTTTTGAATTCTCACGCAATAGCTTTCGGAGACCTCCAGGTCAATGCTGATGCACAGTCAGCGGAAGAGAATGGTCAATTCAAGAATAGATCAACGTGTGCCTAAATAAACAGGACTATCATGTCAATAAGTCAGTAAGAGGTCATCGAAGACTGGGTCAAGACACCGATACCACCCAAGACCGCCGACATGTCTTTCCTGATACTCGGCCCGGCGTTGCCATTCGTGGTTATTCTATTGCTTCTTGAAGTATTCTTGTTCCAACTTTTGTACCGAACTTTCATAGGAGGTCTTTCAAAAGTCCCCTCCGCTCACTGGACTTGCTCTTTCAGTCCTATTTGGATTCTTTGGCAGCGCTACCAAGGGAAGGAATTGAAAGCTGTTCTCGCAGCTCATGAAAGACTGGGCAAGATTGTACGAGTCGCGCCGCAAGAGATCAGCATCAGCGACTATGAGACTGGTGTTCGTCAAGTCTACAACGCCGGGTTTGAAAAGCCGGGATACTTCGATTTCTTCCAATACTATGGGTAAGTGTTAACATCATTCCCGACGATTGCTCCATCCCACTCTCACAGTTTTGGTAGCCCCAAGTTGTGGCAATTTCACTCACTGACCTACTTGTCTTTTAGACAGCGGAATTCTTTTGCCAGCCGGAGCCGAGCAGACCATGCCGCATGCCGCCGACGAGTCTCCTCGTCTTACTCCAAGACGACACTCTTTGCCTCCGAGACGCTGAGCAAAGTAACTCACAACATCATGTATCAACGTCTCATCCCAGTTCTCCAGCATCACTCTGCACACGGACAACCGGTAGAGCTTTTGAGACTCTGTTATGCCTCAGGATTGGACATGCTCAACTGTTACATTCTGGGTCTTTCCAGCGGACCCGACTTTACTCGAAACCCTGAGTTGACAGAGATGTGGCTGGAGCACTACGAGAACAGATACAGTCCTCAGGGCTTCTGGCTTCAGGAACTCCCCAAACTCTATCACGGGCTTCGCAAGATCGGACTCGATGTGATGCCTCGTAAGCACTACGAATCGACCGAGTGGATCGAGAACTGGATGTTGGAGCATTGCGACAAGTCTGAGGCAATCTATCGACGCATGCAGAACGGAGAGCAGCCTCCTGCGGAAGACATCCCAGTTGTGTACAATCAGCTACGAAAGGCTATGTCTAACTTGAAAGACGGCAAATTCCTCGATATGCAGGCGTCGGAAGAGCTATCTAGAATCTCCATCGCCAGTGAAATCTTTGATCACATGTGTAAGGTTACCGAACTCCTTCGATGATCTCAACTGTCACTAACGAACTTCTGTCTATTGTAGCCGGTGCTCGCGAGGTTTTTGGTAAGTTTCTGGAATTCCACTCAAGCTATTTTTACCTGCTGACCTGACTAATCAGGCCTTGTTCTTGCCTACGCGGTGTACTATCTTGCTCAGAATCCAGCTCAGCAAGAGATGTTGAAGCACGCGGTTGCCGGACTCGGGATGCACGTAAACCAAGTCAGTCACAGTGACGCTAATAGTCTGCCTTCGCCTCAAACGATTGAGTCCATCGCATATCTGCAGGCTGTCATCAAGGAGTCTCTGCGCATGAGACCCAACAGCACCCCGCTACCACGCATCACACCTCACGATAAATCTGTTAGCATCTCGGGAGTCGACGGTATTCCAGCGGGTACTCGGGTCAACTGTTTCCAATGGTTTTTGCACCGGAACCCTGAAATGTGGACACAGCCGAACGCCTGGGTTCCTGAACGCTGGCTGGACCCGAATGGCGCAGAAAGGACCGATATGCCTCCTCTCTGGGCTTTCGTCACCGGTCCGAGAGCTTGTATCGGAACACAACTGACGTACTATCGTAAGTGATCTCTCCCTGTGGTAAACATATATGCATCTTCGCTCTGGGCCATCGATGCTTCTATTAAAGTGAATGGTTCATATCATTTTCCAAGCAAGATGCTAACTCGATCTTAGTGTTCGGATACATTTTGGCTGGTTTGTTCTCCAACTTCAGTGTCCAAATTGCCCGCCCTGAGACCTACGGTCGCCACACGCCTGGATCTCTGGAAGACGAACTCTTTGTCTTGATGACACCGATTGCTCCATAAAGTAAGGGACAAGCCGTAGTTTGATGCGCTTCCCTCCACCAATGGCAAGTACCTTGGAATGGTTCGCCCATGTGGTTGGCTACCTATCGCATGTTTCTATGACGCAATTTGGGTTCGAAATAGTTGAGAATGGCTAGTTGTATAAGATTTGTCGTATTTAAAAAGACTAAAGATGATTGAGCGCCGTAGGCATGGTTAGAATGAGTTTCTATATGCTAGACAGGAAGAAAGCTTTGGTATGCCAATTTGTTGAAGTCTTTTCTAATTGAAATGTACTCTGCGTGTTCTGTGTCGAATTCTCGAGGGGCTCAATGCTTGATTACAAGTTTAAAGACATAATACAGCGTTGCTACGGAACGCGCAAATGTTTCTGCGCTGTTCACATCAGGAGTGCCAAGAACTAGGGTTTTATCGGTGATCTTCTCTTAGACTAAAACAGGTAGAATATCATCACGTAGAACTCTCTATGCATTAGAGTAGCTGATTCTAGTCGGACTGGCATCATCAAACTTTGAGTACAGGGAGGCCTTGCTGTGATCATTCAACATTTCTCATTGTGCCTACATTTACAAAATGCATGGGTGGCCAAGCTGGGTGAGTTTTGCTACTGGCCGTGTGAGCACCTGCCGTACTAAATGGCAGGTTGGTACCAGAACGAACTGCCGTTTGTCTAGAACATCGGTCGATGCATGTCAGAAGTGGCTAAAACAACGGCTCTTCCTTGTTGGTCTGCCTTTGAATGATCTGCCTAGAGAGTTATGAGCCATCGAATTATGCGAAAACCTTGGAAGATGATTTGCGTGCCGAATAGTCGACTTTGGTCTTGCAGCCTAGTTCATTCACACATCATGGAAGCCCGTTCGAGGTTACAGACCACCAGATGAGCGACTATCTCTGGGGCGTCTGAAGAACACCCAGCGACCATAATCATCAGTGGCGATTACCTTTTGAGAAAGGACGGCCTTTCCTTGTGCAGCAATGTCTGTGACAAAATGGAGAAGCTACCTTATGTACCTCGACGACAGATGAACATTGGTTACACCTTTATGTATACCTCTCTCAGCTCGCTCATTTTGTACCGAACAGTACCTCAAACGATGTTCAACGAAGCACGATTGATATATTTCTACCTCAAGAACGATTCGGTAACATCGCCGGGATTATTAGAGCTCCGGTCAGTTACTCCAAAGTTTCAGCTGCGGCTGTATGCAGTGAGACAGCCACCAACTCACACTAAGACCCGATACGAAGGCCAAGCTGAACCCCCTTGCCTACCACCTTGAGGCTGGGAGCCGTGCACAAACCCCGCGCTATTAGAACACCTCGGATCTCCATTTATCTCGAAAAGACAACCAACGCTCATCTTCTGATATCAAGGCCCGCCTGGACCTAGAAACATGGCTACTACTCTTCGTGGTGCTCACAAGCGCTTGATTGTGTGTTGCGATGGAACATGGATGGACTCGTTGGGCAGGAAGGGGTAAACTGACCTTGGTCCCCCTTGACAGCTTCATCGTCAGCTAACCCGCACGCAAAGCGCTGAGCCGCAATCTAACGTGACAAGGATATTTCGGGTCCTTCGGCGAACCTGTCAAGATGGCACCCACCAAATCATAATGTATCATCCTGGCGTTGGCAGCTCAGACAGCGCAGTCGACAAATTCACAGGTGGACTATTTGGGGTTGGACTTGACCAGGTAAAGCCCATTGCGACTTGTTGTTCTCCTTTGATGTGGAGCTAATGCTTTATGAAGGCCATTCGCGAGGTCTACAATTTCATATGTACTAATTACGTCGATGGAGACGACATCATCCTCATAGGCTTCTCCCGCGGCGCCTTCACGGCGCGCTCTGTTGCCGACATGATTGCGACGGTCGGCTTGCTAACTCCTACGGGCTTGGACCATTTCTACGCCATCTTTGAAGACTATGAGAACATGGAGGACTCTGATCGTGATCCGAGTGTCTTCTTGGACCCAGAAGTACTTCCCTATAATGGCGAGAAAGGAGCAGCCCGGGCTAAATGGGAGATCGATCGGAAATCACAGTATGAGAGGTGGCTTTCGAAGGTACATCCTGCTGAAGTGCCTCTCCTCAAGATGTGATGCTGATTGGATTCAGAATGACCTCACAAGGCACACGTACGAAGATGTAAATGGCGTGCACGAGATCAATATCAAGGCGGTTGGCGTATGGGATACCGTCGGCGCTTTGGGCATTCCCCCAGCCCCGGTCGTTGGCCTTCAGGGGACATCAAATCAATAAGTTTTTTTTTTGCTGTGGCCATTCCAAGATTGAATGCGGCTAACATGAAAGTTTTACGTGGAAGTTCAGCAATACTCAGGTATCCGACCGCGTAGAAAACGCCTTCCATGCTCTGTCTCTAGACGAACCCCGGTTTGCATTCCGCCCTGCACTCTGGGAAAAGCTTGAGGGCAATAAGACCAATCTCCGGCAGGTTTGGTTTCCAGGTAACCATGCCGGTGTAGGCGGGGGATGGCATGAGCAACAAATTGCCAGCATCACTCTAGCTTGTACGTAGCCCATGCCATGGTGTGTGCTTTTCGACAGAAACTGACAGAGAAAACAAGGGATGTGTGATCAACTATCAAGCGTTGGTGTGGAGTTCAACCCAGGTCGTATGTCAGACATTTTCACTGAGGGACTTCGGTTCTCAGCTGGACATCCATTCTCCTATGTGCCCAGATCCTGGTCATCATGGCTCCGGCCGAAGCAACAACTGCCGTGGGCGGATCCCAAGATATGTCCGGTAAAGGCATCAAGCATTCATCGGGATGAGGCTGAATGTGATGGAAAAGATCGTCATCCCGCCGGTGGTGCAGAAGAGCTCTGGAAAACCGCTCGTCCGTGGGGACTAGGCCAAATCCGATATCCGACGAGCCGCCTCCAGACCTGGTCAGGAACCACAATCCGTCACCCTGGAACCTTTATGCGTACGGACCCGGAAACGAACCAAGACACGGACTAGCCTTTACTCAACACCAACGAGAGAATTCACAGTAGCGTGCGGGTCCGACTGGCTTGCCAAGGCCTTGCTATGGACGACGATGGGATCTGGGACTGCAAAGCTCTGGCCACAGCCGATGACGGGAGTGGACTGTGGAAGCTGGAACGCGGCTCCGGGCTTAACGCCTCTGAGGCAGATAGTGTCAAAGACGGCAAGACCAGGGAGTTGGATCTTGACGCAGAGGGAGATGTCTTGAAGCCTTATCCGGTCCAGAAGGCAGACGGCCAATGGAGATGGGTGTTGGCCGGCAAACAGCCCAACGCCTTCCCGCTGGCTGGTGTGCTTCCCGAGGAGCCTTTGACGGGTTACTGGGAACGGAAGTTGCTTGCTTTGACTGCGGGAAATCCCGACGTGTGGAGATGGGCGGAGGAGAATCCCCCCTTTGGCTTGATCTAGGTCTTTTCTGTCTCAGTCAGTGGCATTTGGGGAGAGTGGGCGGACAGCCTCAAGATCACGGCGAATGCGACGAATACAGTTGAAATGTCTTACACTTGATTGTACCGCTGTAAAGGCCAGCAAATCAGACAACCTCCCCTTGCAAGTGATCGCCATGGGAGCACGAGTGATCGCCATACCGGCATTGTGTAACCTGCGTGCATGCGTGCCTCCCACCTGCTTGGCTCCTGGGTCCTCCACCATGTCGATCCCATCCTATTGTGTAGGAGTTTCTAGAATGAATACCTATCTATACTGCTCAGTCTTTGCTCGAAATCCGCTCATCGTACACATAGACTTCGACCAGCGTTATTGGTACCGCCACCATCGCGATATACTGACAGTTGTACGATCCCCGGTAAGATATGCCGCATTCTCGAGCATGGCTGCATGCGATCAAAACTGCGCGATTCCGTCATCTCTTGCGCCTTTGGGGCAGGTTATTGCGGCTAGCTAACGGGAACTACCGATGGACTTGCGAAAGGGAGCTTACCTACGCCGTGTCTCTGATCGGGCTGAGACATCGGCGGACTTAGGCTTGTCCTACTTGACCAGTAACGGCCTTGTACAACCTGGCGAGACCTTCTCCCGTCTCAAGCCATTTCTCCGGATGTTCTGTGATCCATCCAGTTGGAAAGATGTCTCTCTAATGGCTCAAAGGTGTGTTGTCTCTCGGCTCGAGTCTGGCAACAGAGTAGACGATTTTTCAGTCTTTGGGGATGTTGACAATAGCAAAATGATTCCAGCTATGACTGCATTCGTCAATCAATCACTATCATGTTGTCTGAATTGGGAATATCGGGGGATTCAGCAGGACTGAGAAGCCTGGAATATCGAGTATAAAGTAACTCAATATTTCCGTCACAGTCTTGTCTTTTCTTCTTCGCTCGCCACAGCAACTCCAACATCTTCACATCTTCAGCAAAGGTTCCTTGAATCAACAGTTCAAACATCTCAAGATGGCTTCCATTCGCACTCTTACCACCTTTGCCCTGGCTTTTGGTGCCGCCGCCAACCCTGCGCCTGCTCCTCGGCCCGAAGCTGAAGCTGGCATCGCCGACTCCATTGGCCCTGCCGCGGTCAAGCTCGAACCAGTTTCTTTCTCCTTGACTCTTCCCAATGTCGAGCTCCCGACCCCGCCTACTGTCAACGCTCCTCGCGGCGTTCCCGACATCGATCTTCCGGCTCTTCCCACTACTCTTCTCTCTCTTCCGAGTCTCAATCTCCCCCGCGGTCTCACGGCTCCGACCCTCGCACCTCCTGCACTACCAGCCCTGCCGACTTTGTCTGTTGATGTTGACATTCCAGCTTCAACCCTCTCGTTGGCCGTCGAAGTTCCGGACCTGAACATCCCCCGCGGCCTTACGGCTCCGACTCTTGCACCCCCGGCCCTGCCAGTTCTGCCTACTCTTTCTGTTGACGTGGTCGTTCCGGCTTCTACTGTCTCGTTGGCCGTTGAGGTCCCGGATCTGAATATCCCTCGGGACCTCCCAATCCTGTCTTCTCTTCTCTCGCTATCGGTCAACGTTGAAGCCACCGGCCTCCCTATCCTCCCCGCCGTCAACATTCCCCGAGAGATCCCGGCGATTCCCTCCATCAGCATTGAGCTCCCTGTTCTGCCCTCGACTTCCATCGGACTCCCAGTCCGCAGGCACGCTCGGGATATCTCAATCGCTAACCCTCCCCTCCCTACCCTGCCAGCTGTCAAAGTCGCTCCTTACACGGTTGCTCTTCCCGGTATCGCTGTCCCCAATGCCCCCGGCGTTGTCGTTGAGCGCGACATTCCCGCCATCACCAGTCTCCCGGTCGAGGTAACTCTGCCCCCCGTTGCGCTCCCCAGTCTCCCCAAGCTGAACCTCGAGCGCGACCTTTCGACCACCATCGATCTCTCGGTCCTCAGCACTCTGCTTGCTGTTTTGCCTACCGCCGCCCCGAAGTTGAACCTCGAGCGAGACCTGCCTGCTGTTGATGCCTCGATCCTCAGCTCGCTGCTCGCCGCTCTGCCCACTCCGAAGTTGAACTTGGAGCGCGACCTGCCTACCGTTGACGCCACCATCCTGAGCAGCATTCTTGCCACTCTCCCCACCGCCATCCCAAAGTTGAACCTCGAGCGCGACTTGCATGCTATCGACGCCTCAATCATCAGCTCTTTGGTCGCTGCTCTGCCCACCCCTTCCGTGAAGCTGAACCTCGAACGCAGCTTGCCCACCATTGACCTTTCGGTTCTGAGCTCTCTGGTTGCCATTCTGCCTACCGCCATTCCCAAGCTTCCGGAGCGCGACTTGCCCATTGATGCTTCTGCGGTTATCAGCAGCATCCTCGCCACCCTACCCAGCCCTCTCGCCAAGCTCAACTTGGAGCGCGATTTGCCTATCGATGCTTCCGCGGTCATCAGCTCCCTGTTTGCTGCTCTGCCGACTCCTCCCGCGAAGCTGCTCGAACGCGAAATCGCAGTCCCGCTTCCCACTGTCGCACCTGTCACCTTCTCCCTCACTGCTCCCGTCGTTCTGCCTGCTCCTGTTATTCCTGCAATTCCTCGCGACATTGTCCCGAGCTCCGTCGATCTCCCCGCCGTCCCTACTCTGCCCGCCATTCCTCCCGTCAACGTCAAGGGCGAGCCCATCAACGCTAAGGTTCTGCCTCTTCGCGCCCTCCCGGTCCTTCCTATCAACCCTACCACCTTGATCTCATTGATCCCCGCCCCGACCGGAATTCTCAGCTGCTCTACCGTCCAATGCATTCCCGACTACGTCTGCAAGGAGATTAACGGCGCACCCATCTGCGTGCCCGTCTCTCCCCCTACAGTCCCTACTGTCTAACTTCCCTGCTGTCGATCCCGTCCCTTTCGAGACGGGACGCCCGATCTAGCAAGCCGGCACTCGCAACTACACTAGCTCTCAGTGACGAACTAGTAATATCTTAATACCATGGGGATGAAAGGAGGCTTGGATAGCTCTCCCCATAGATTGGAACATGGAGGATCGCAGTAATGAAGACGTATAATGGGGAAGGGGGAAACGTCAAACTTAGCTGCCCCTGAGGCATGAATCTATTAATTACTCAATAGCTAATCTAATCCATCTCTTTTCTTAACTGCCAAGACGCGATCATCATCCTCGTCCGAACATGCCGGGTGCTGCTTACTCCTATCCCTTCAGCCTATAATAGGGTCTGTTCTCGGACCTTATACACTAGCACGCTTTGTCCGTGAGCTGGTCAACACCCGTGCCGTTGTTTAAAGTTAGCCCATTCCTTTCATATAACTGGAGACAACCAGTTGTGGCCGGCATTTAATCACTCTCAAACAATGAACTATAATTGTTCCCTGAATCGCGCCAAACTTACTGCCCGCCGGCAATGGGGGGTGAATCCTTCACTTTTGGACCATAAAGGTTGACGTTGCCACCTGATTTTGAACAGGTCCAGGTGTTCCTCAAAGCCATTCACTCATTTATCTTCAGTCCAAATACGCTCGATTCCAACTCGGCCAGTCATTCTTTTACCAACAAACCCCAACTATCAACATGATGTTCCTTCGCTCGCTTATCGTCGGCGTCTTCGCCATTGCCGCCTCCGCCGCCCCGGCCCCGACCCCGCAAGGAGAACCCGCGCAAGATCGCTGCGCCGGCGTCGCTTGCCCCGAAAACTCCTACTGCAAAATCTTCGATTTCAAGTTGGAGCACCCTGTCGGTTGCCAATCCAACGGTACCGTACCAGCCGATGCAGAGACTTGCGGCTCAGTCATTTGCCCGACAGGAACAACATGCTGCAACTCTCCTTGTGGCGTGTGCGCGAAGCCCGGGGAAACATGCTTGCAATGGGTCTGCTGAGTAGTGGAAATCTCGGACGGGATGGGGAATTTCGGGAAGCAATACCAGGTCATTGTCAGGAGTTCAGGCGTCCCTTTGAGCATCTTCAACCCTCAACCACAGAACAATTGAAAATGATACACGTACCGGAGAATACAGCATTTTCCATCTCACAAACTTACAAGAAACTCACACCACGCTTGTGCTCCTCACCCCTGGCGGAAATTGCCGTGCACTGATGACTCGCGTGAATTACTCCGAATATTAATCGCCATAGGGCACAGTCATCTGGTACCACAATGTCAAGAATTGACAGGTAACTCCTGGGACATGTGTTTAAGATTTAAGAAACTGCTACTTCGCAAAGTTACGATCTTGATCTGGATTTCTGTTTCCCATTGGGTCGAAGCGAACTTGATGATGCGGCGCGGTGAAGATGATGTAAGGTACTGTGCAAAGACACCATCCGATCTTCAGACCCTGCTAAGCCTTGGTGATAGCAAACTCTGGTGTCTGGGTCATCCCGGTCTCTGCATAGTACCGTTCCCAGTGATCGACAAGCCTCCGCATCACCTGCGGCTCCTTGTCTGATACATCGTTCATCTCCGCGGGGTCCTTCTCCACGTCATATAGCTCCCAGTCATCCTTTCCCCTCGGTTTATTCAGCCAAACTGCCTTCCACTTACCCTCACGAATCGCCCTGAGCCCGAAAAGCTCCCAACCGTGGACGTGGATGTCTTCTCCGTGAACCGTCGAGTCCGGCGCCGCATAGTCGGGAGAAGTGAGGTGGTCCACCCAAGATTTGCCTCGGGGTACAACGACTTGTCGACCTCGAAACGTCGTACCAGGGTGCTGCACCTGAGCCATCTCCAAGATCGTGGGGAGGATATCCATAACGGTGGTGAAACGATGCGTGATAGCGTCGGGCTTGGCTTGAAATGGTGGAAAGCGGATTAAACACGGGCAACGGATGCCACCCTCCGTGATCCAACACTTTGAGCCCCGGGATGGCGCCGTAGCCGCACACGCCCATCGCGGACCTGATCCAAGTCAGTGCCAAATTGCATCACCAGAAGACTAGGTAGATGGGGTTACTAACCATACCAGGCGAAAGACGTCTTGTCGCCAATGTTGTCCAAGCTATTGTCATAATACTTTTGCACTATCCCAGCAAATGTTGTTTCTCCTCCCATCATCTACGGAAGAGCAAAAGTTAACATCGGACCGAAGCGGTATTGAAGACGCGGCTAAACATACAGGTATGGCCTCGAGGGCAGCACCCTCGGCGCCATTATCCGACATGAACAAAACAAAGGTGTTGTCGAGCTCTCCTGTAGCCTCAAGGTGATCAATGACTCGCCCAATGTTCTCGTCAATGAGATCCACCATGGCAGCGAAGACTTCCATCTTCCGTGCAGACTCTTTACGCTCCAATTCCGTCATATCGTTCCAGTCTTTACCTAGAACACCAACTGGCGGCGCATGTTCAATGTCCTTGGCCACAAGACCGAGATCGACCAGACGTTGCAGTCTTCGCTGTGTCAATGCATCAGGGCCATCGTCGTACTTCCCAGCTGAAAGCACCGTTAGCGACCTCTCATATCCCGATCCTGCTCATCATCCATTCATACCGTATTTTTCGACCACCTCTCGTGGGGCCTGGAGGGGCCAGTGAGGCGCAGTGAAGGGTAGGTAAGCGAAGAACGGTTGTTCCTTTTCCTTCTCGTCTCTCGCCTTAAGAAAGTTGATCATACGATCGGTGAAGTAGCGCGTGGAGTAAAAGTCATCAGGAAGGTCCGTTCTATGATTGATAAACTTATCGCCATCCATCCAATGACCTTCCGTGTCGAGACAAGGGATCTTGAACTCATCATCGTCTAGCTGGGGCTCATAAGCATGATGATTTCCGGAGCCCGGTAGGAACGTAAAGTTCTTCGTGAAGCCTCGATTGCAAGGCGCAAGCTCCTTGGTCAGTCCAAGGTGCCTGTGAGACCCTCGAGGTCAGTCGCCCATGCCGTCGTCTAAAGTAGCATGCGATGAGCTTACCATTTTCCGGACATGATGGTATGATAACCAGCATCTTGCAGGATCTCGGATAAAGCAGCTACTCTCCAGTTTAAATAGCCTTCGTAACCGGGCTTGTCTTTGAAATAATCTCCAAAGTGCCTCATGTGTTCAGCCATTTGGCCTTGAGAGTTCGTCAACCTTCGCCCTGTGATGGACGGAGGAACACTCACCAAGCCCAGCAATATGATTATCAGTTCCAGAGAATAGCATGGATCTTGTTGGCGAGCATGCCGACGCAGTATGGAAGTTGGTCATGCGAATTCCATCTTTAGCGAGCTTGTCGAGAGTTGGAGTATGGATCTCACCTCCGTATGGACTGACATCAGAGAAGCCGAGGTCGTCGGCGACGATGATCAGGAAGCTTGGTCGTTGAGGTGTCATGATGAGTGATTGCTGATGAAAGAGCTCGGTGGGCGATTTGGTGCTCAAATCCGACCGTGGCCTTTTTTTTCAAGTGACCGAGGTGATCCGGAAAATCGACTGGGTTAGTGACCACTCCTGTAAATGGCGAGATTACTCTCAGAATTGACGCAATTCATTTTATTCACTCATCATAGAAGATGAATCCTCTTCTGAGAGGGGTCAGAACTAATATAGATTGGGGCATGCTTGACGACTCTCAAAGGTGTGCAAATGTGGTCACTATCTCCCCGTTCTTACCCGTTGAAGGGGATAACAGCTTGTTAATGAATACCCCGCTGTTGAGATCCGCCGAGATCCGGCGATAACATAGCGACAGCAAAAACTCGTCAATCTCCTACGCAGCCTTTCATCAGAAGCGACTGCTCGTTGCTGGGGTCAAAATTTGACGCCACTTCTTGTGAGCCGTAGACAGCCGTGGACTCCTGAGGTGGTCGGGGAAGCACGGCAGCACGTAGAGGTGAAGTAGTGTCTTTAAAGTGAACAGTAATATCATATGACTACGATGTGTTGCTGACTTTAAATAATTCGTCAACATGCAGATACTAACAGCAGCGATTTTTCTGGGTTGGTGAAAATAGTTGTTGACGGGGATAGACGGGGAGACTTTTCTGGGGAACCATCCAACAACAACGAAGCTATCCAGAATCCGGAATAAGCGTCGTATTCCCCCCGCTCTAGTGACTACTTTGGCCCACTTGATTGACAAGGGCTGTCACATTTGAGTAGAAATTTACCCCAAGGAGATGGCTGAACTTCTCCGGGAGTCAAACCTGGGAAATATCGATACCCGGCAAATCGTCAACATTAGTCGTGATGGCGCAATTGAGAGCCTGTGACCTGTGACTGTACTTAGATGAATGATATAAAGCCCTCGTGTTTGTCTCTCACAATAGCAGATAGCCATGGAGAAGTGGCGTGCCTTGACTTCTCACCTAGACTGACGGCCAATATTTCGGCAACAAATCAGCCATCATGTTCGCCCACCTTGCGTTGCGGCAGTCTTTCAACAGATCTTTGACTTTAACGATCCTGCTCATTGCTGTCTCTCAATTCAACTTTGGGTTTGACCAACAAGGCTTCAATTCGACCCAAGCAATGGACGCTTTCGAACGGCAATTCGGCTGGTATAATGCCAAGACGAAAGCCTACTACCTCGAAAGTTGGTGGCTGTCTCTTTTTGCCGGCCTACCGTACATTGGGTTTGGCATCGGTACGTTACGCGGGAGATTGGCTTAGCATAAAATATTGACAGGTTCGTTTCTACATGTAGGTATCTTGATCGGGAGCATAGTCAGTAAACGCTACGGCCGGCGCATGTGCATGTTCTCAATGAGCATCTGGTCTTGCGTGGCTACAACAATAATCATGACTTCCAGAAGCCGGGATCAGATTCTTGCTGCCAGGATATTGGCCTATATCTATATCGGCATGGAGCTTGCCGTCGTACCCATCTATCAGTCGGAAATAACTCCGCAACGAGCTCGTGGTTTTGTTGTCGGCACGTACCAACTGAGTCTTGCAGTAAGCTGGAATGACCCTTCCTAAGGTAGACTACCAAGATTTATGCTGAAAAATCTTTTCAGACAGGCGGCTTGGTCGTTAATGCCGTGGCCCGAGGTACCGGGAGCTTGAACTCGGCTGCGGCATACTTGATTCCGTACGGGCTCTTCTACATCGTACCCGTGATAGTCATCGCGGGAATCTGGTTCGTCCCAGAGGTACGTAATTAGTAGTATCTACCTTATGTCATCTGATGACGAGTGGGCCAGGATACTGACTCTACTTACTCCTGAAGTCTCCCCGTTGGCTTGCAATGCAAGGTCGCAATGACGAAGCACTGATAGCTCTCACTCGTCTCCGTGAAGGCAGCTTCACTGAAGAGCAAATAGGGACCGAGATGTCTCAGATACGCGCAGGTATAGATCACGAAGTTGAGAAAGGTTCTTTCATGGACATGTTCAGGGGCAAGCAAGTGACAAAGCGAACCATGTCAGTCATTGGTGTCAACTTCTTCCTGCAGGCTACTGGCTCTATCTTTGCCTCTGTGTACGGCGCCATTTTTGTGAAGCAGTTGGGGTTCATCAACCCTTTCACCGTCACCATGATCACCTCCAGCATTAACATCGTCATGTGTGTTTGCTCAATGATCCTATTGGACAAGTTGGGACGGAGGTAAAGCCCCTAGCTTGTATAATGTGCCTTGAATCAAATCTACTTGCACCGATTGGCTGACTTATCATCGGCATTAGAAACGTCATCTTCTTCGGCGGGTCGATTCAGACGGCCGGTCTTTTCGCCATGGGCGCTCTCGGACTCACATCCAATCCGAGCGTCTCCGTCAAGTCAGCCATTGTCGCCATGATGATTGTGATGACTACGGGATTCACTCTAGGATGGGCACCAACATCCCATGTTCTCTCTGCCGAAATTCCGAGCATGCGTCTCCGCGACGTTACGTATCGGACGGCCAGCGTCGTCAACATTGCAATGCAGTTCACCGTCGCTTTTACGCTACCGTATCTGCTCAACGCCCCGTACGCAAATCTGGGGTCCAAAGTTGGTCTGATCTTCGGTACAATAAGCTTTCTCTCTCTTGTGTTCGTCTACCTTTGCGTGCCGGAGTGTAAGGGCCGGACGCTTGAAGAGGTGGACATGCTCTTTGAGCTGAAGATCCCGATGCGGAAGTTTCAGAGCACAGTTCTCGCGATGGATGCTCGTAACCAAGGTATTAGTAAAAGAGATGAGGAGACAATCTCCGAGGTAGCTGTTACGTTGGGAACTAAAGTAAGCAGTCGAGGATGAATGTGGTCATTGTCAGCGAGGCAAAAGAGAATCAGTCATAAAGTGTCAAAGTAGAGTTGGAACGCAGTGTTCTGAGTGCGGCATCTATCGTCAATTGCATAAACCTGTAAGCAGTACATAGATATCTCATTCGCGATACAGCCAAACCCAAAAAAGGACCAAAGGAGTGACGCAAACCATGATATTCCCCCGTGCACAACCGTTACTTCATCAGACATAACAAACTACCATGCATATTATCCTCCTCTTTCCAAACTCCTGTAGTGACATAGCCGTACCATAGACTTCAACAATCATACCAAGTCGGTGGTACCCAGCCATTTAGAGCATGAAAGCACCAAGAGCAAAGGCACCAGCGACGATGGCACCGACGGCGCCGAGCATGCCGTTGCTACCGGGAGTGTGGAGGCCAGGGGCAGCATTGCCGGTCTGGCGGCCACCGCCAACGATGGTGGAGGTGGCGATGGAGGGAAGGCCACCGTTGCCGGAGGTCAGGAAGGTGGTGGTGATGGTGGAGCGCTCGCTGGAGCGAGTACGGCTGGAGGAGGACTCGGTAGTCTGGGCACCGCCGAAGGTGGTGGTAAGCTGACTGCTGGCAGTCAGGCGGGTGGCGAGGACGATGACGGTGTTGGCGATGGAGGTGGATGAGGAAGCGTAGCCGCTGGCGCTGGGCAGCTGGCAGACGTTCATGATGCTCTGGATACCTGTTTGCGAAGCACCAGGTTAGCTCACTATGATGCGAAAGAGGCTTTGATCTGGATGTCTAGAAGTAACATACCCTCAAGGCTGCGCTGCTGGTCGGAAGGAACCTTCTCGATCATGCAGGCATTGCACTGGCCAGCCAAGTTCTTCAGGTCGAAGGAGTTGTTGGTGCAGACACACTGGGAGTCAAGCTCATCCTGGAGCTGATCGCTGTTGTTGTTGCCCTGGCCGGGGACAAAGTTGACAGTGCAGATGTTACCAAGGTCACGGACAGGGCGGCAGATGGCAGAGCAGTCCTGGGGGATGTCGTTGTTGTTGATGCGAAGATCAGCGTGGACAACCGCCGCGGTGGCGAGGGAAAGAGCGACGGCCTTGGCGTGCATTTTGATTGTTGTTGGGGGGTTTGGTTAGAAAAGGTTGAGAAGATGCTGAAGAGCGAATGAAGCCGAGGCTGTGAAAGGTGTAAGAGTCGAAAGGGGTTGCGAGAGACTAGCTGTCGAAAGGCGAAGTGAAGCTGTGTGAGAGTGATCTGATGAGAAGAAGAAGGGAGGTTACCAGACGGGTTCGTGATAGGATATTTATGTTCTGAGTGTCAACTGTTCATGGACTGCGTGAACTTGAACCCTCTTGTTTCGCCCGGAGATCCGCTTCGGCAAGAAACCAAGATGAGGGCGCCTGGGCGTCGAAACAGTCACCTCTGCTGTGCCATGACAAAGGACAAGAGAGTGGCACTGATGGGGAAGGGCAACCGTCAACCACGAGGTGGGCTGTGGTGGGCAATGCCAAGCTGCATCTCAGAGCCCCGAGCAGTCCAAGCCTCAGACCAGACCGAGACTGAGTGACGCTATCGGTATTCTGTACTGACTGAGAAGGTTGGGTACATTGTCAAGCAGCCAGAGCCCAGAGGTACTCGTTGACTCTGAGCAGAACACGGCTCAGAGTAGGATGACGTGGTCCAAGAGCCATGCATCTTTGGACAACCGTCTGTCGAAGCATAACATCGTGAAACGCCTTTTTGCCTGTCACCCGTGGGAGTCTCTGCCGCCGTTCCTCCCCACGTGAACGGCGTGGACTAGTTCCTCCGGTCAAACCTTAGTTTGTTAGTGTGCCCCAGTACTCTATCGGTGTAGACTGTACGAAAAGACCTAGCTAACATGACGGATCCCTTCTCTCAGCGTAGCGGATGCGGGAGGACATGATGCAGGGAGAGATTGATGCAAGGCACGGGTCTTTGCAAAGAGCACTTGGTGAATGCGGCGTCCGTTCGATCCCCCTGACAGTCTATCCGTGAAGGTGCTCGCCAGAAGATGCGGCGAGAACCGATAGTTCGGTCCCTATGGTATTCTCCAGGCTCAAGCTCCCATGTTTGAATCCTTCCCAAAAGCAGGGTCGAAAGGACGAGGGGTTGGGAAGGATTTCTCTTGGCAGCGGGAAGAAGCATGCTCAGCTCGGAGTGATCTTGGCCACGACCAGTGCCACCTTCTGCACCTACCATGGAACGAGCATGTCCTTACCACTGAGTACCGAGAAAAATGTTCATACACAGCCGCAAGTGAGAGACATCAGACATCATTTGCAGTCCAGCTGACAGATCAAGGTGTCCCAGATGCGAGGGATAAGATACATTCTCCCTCGGTGTTACACTGCCAAGTACAGAGATGACAGTTGCCGCAACCATGTCTGCTCTCCCCTGCTGAGGAATAGCATGGCCAGCAAAATTCCAGACCAGCCTGGACATTCGCACGGCGCTCTCAGTCCTCCTACATTGTCCCGACGATCTTCCCATCGTCGAGCTGTCGCGTTTCACGTCTGGCCGTAGCACCGGGCCGTGCCCTGGGCTAACATACAAACTTGACCTAGCTCGTCCAGGTCGGCCCTGCACTTCCCCAAGTTATCCGTTGAAAAAGCGGGAGTCTCCTCGGTTCTACTTGGTGCCTGGGGGCGGTGCCATACCGAAGTGCCGGCTAACCGATTCAAGTTGGGTTATTGTCTGGCTCTGGGGCAGCCGTTGAGAAGCTGGGCAAAGAGAGTAGGTAGGCCCACACACATATGAATAGAGTGGACTAACCTAGCTCGGTAAGTATGGAGATCCGCGGGGAGGCTAGAGAAACAAAGCCTGTCCGTGCATCTGCTTCGAAGTGATTTTTCCCTGCCCTCGACCATGAGTCTGAGTCGCGAAAGCTGGAGATGAAGAGAACCTCATCTCCGAGTGCCTGGGCTGGATCAAAGAGCTTCGAATTCAGCAGATGGAAAAACTTCCATCTTGAAATTTTGCCATGCTGAAGGTGATCATCCGGTTCAAGTCACAAATGTCTAGCTCGGCCTGTTGCCGCCAGACAACACACTGCGTAGGCGCGGCTGATTCCTGAATCTAGTCGGAGTACCAGGGCAACTCAAGGTTTCCATGGATCGTCGTCTGGGCAATTCTTAACTTCTAGTTCCCGTTGAAATACGACACTAACAAACGCCCCTCAGTCAAATCCGTTCCATTCGGATTCTAGCCCCAATGAAGCGCTCTACGAGACGGGCGCATTACTATTCAAAATGCGGGATTGGACTGCCTCGTTCAGAAAATCGCTGAGCAGGAAACCTATGTGGAAAGTAGAAAGTAGAGACTCAGCATACGGAAAGATCTCGGCATAACTCACTCGGCCTGCTGTCGTTCGTCGCCCACATGAGCAGAGTTGCACTTGCTCGGCAAAGGGATTTATGCCGTGAACCCCAACCGGAGCTCAGGCCAAGCAAAGGCTCTAGACACGACCCATCGAGATGGCAAGTTCGTCCAAGGTCCCACATCTCACGGATCCACGGGCCATCCCACTGCCCCAAGCTCTCAGCCATCTCAAGTCTCCAAGTTTGTGAGAGACAGAGACCATACCCAGGTGACCGGTTCTTTACAATCAACGTCGCATATGGATCACCAGAGCCGTTGCTTTTCGTGGCGGAGTCTCGACCTGCATCGTGGCGCGTGATCTGCATATCTTGGGACGTGGAAAAGCCCCAAACAGGAGTCGCGAGTAAGAGTCGAGCTTGATCCAAACAGTTTCCTGCACGCTGTACCCCAGGTTTGAGGATAGAGGGGGCGACATGGATGCTTTAAGCCGAGAAATATCTGAAATATCCGAATTCTCGGCGGAGGCAGCCCTTGATGACTGGCTGCTCACTCGACATTTTCGCCTTCGGACTGGGCAACTTCCACGCTCGGTGCCACTCTATACATCAAATGCATTTCATGAATCACACACAAGTGTAGGGACGAAGATAAAAATCCCCAAGAAAATTCCGAGCTAGCCAACCCAGTTCGTCTCGCTGCAGGGAGTCCTCATCTCAGTCCCAAGTCCTGCAGTGAACAGAGTTGCTAGGGACTAGCGGCCCGTGCCCTTCGTCTCACGGTGCAGTCTTGGACGATCCTCCAGAAAGCGAGGCGACGAGGACGAGGACTGTGGCTCGGTCTGCACTGATATTACACGGCGGCGAAACATGTCAAGGCCGTCTGTGCGGGGACAAAGAACCAGCAGGATACGGCAGCCCATCACATGTCCAAGTCCGTCGGGTAAGTCGAGATTAGTCAAGGCGAGTGGTTCTTTGCTTCGAGCATCCTTGGCGGCTCAGAATTACCTAGTACCGTGGTGAGGTCCGATCAAGCGACAGTCGCACGTTGCCATTGGTCCCGTCCACGAAATTGATATTGCCGCCTGACCCCAGAAGAGATGCGAAAGGCTTGGCAAACAAATACATCATCAGGCGAAAAACTTGAGTTGGACTGTATGAGATGATGGGTGCATGCTCGTCACAAAAGGTAAGGCAGTCTCGATGGTTGCAGATTGAGAAGTAATAGGATGTATTTCGTTTGAAGTTGGGCACGATAGGGCAATGTGGCTAGTTTAGGTAGACATATCAACCTCACTATCCGTCAATCCGACGACTTAGGATGGTGAGGGTAGATTTCCTTCAGCAAAGCCTCCATGCGAGCCTTTCCAGCCAGCTCTGCTTCTTCAGGCGACGGCGACGGTAACGGACTGCTGAAAAGCGGGGCCCGGATCTGGCGGTCCGAAGGAGTTGGAGTGTCAACGTATCGGTTGATGGAATATGCCGAGTCCGACGATACGGGAATTGCGGGTCGTGCAACCTGTGGGGCCGGTGTCGGTGCCGGTGTCGGTGTCGGTGCCGGTGCCGGAGCTGGGAACGGGACCGTGGGCGGGGCTGTCGGTGATGCAGCGGGGGCTCTGTGTGGCAGGAATGCCGGAAGGTTAGTAGGGGGTGGACTCTAGGATGGCGGTACAAGCAAAAGTGACAGTACTCTGCTCCATAGAATAGTCTTGATTAGCACGCACCTGTGACCGCCATTGTAAACAGCACCAGTGGAAGACATGATTGCAGCGGAAAGAGAAATACAGGCGAAAGTTATGGGTCTAAGCAGGCCGGAGGCGAACAGCCGTGTGACTCGGATGCACCTGGGTGGACAGGTGGGGCCGAACCTTGACCGGTGTTGTTCGGGCGCGGTACTTTTGTGGGCTTTCAGCAACTGGTAGTACCTTAAAGGCATCAAGCTCATCAGTGTCACTGGAACTTGGAAGCAGACAAGGTCAAAGGCTGATGCAAGGAGCTGGGGATGATGGCTGCAGTAAAGGCACGATGGGCACAGACTGAGGGAATCGTTCAGATCGATCCATCCGGGCAACAGGGACATGCCGAGTATTTAAAAGCGTCGAACCGAATCATTGGCGCGGGAGGGAACAAATCCAGTAGGAAAGATTCAAGAGAACATCCAGCAAACCGTTTCGCGGAGGCAGCCTTACGCTAGACATGAAAACGCCCCCAGCGAACCACACCATCAAGCAGCATCTATGTGAGATCCCGCAACGTGGGTGCCAGAATGCCGGGAAAACGCCATCTGGACAGTGACGTGATGGCGCGTTCCCAGCTTTCCACCCTGGCACCCCTAAGCTTTTGACAACGGTCAATAATATTTCCAAAGCCAATGGTTCGCGGACGATATTCGCCACACGAGAAGGCAATAGTAGCTCCGATAATGTTAGGCAGATCATAGGGTAGGTTTACGCGCGGATGCAAGCTCGCGTGGGTCACTCACTGGCTTCGCATCGCAAAACCCTGGAAAATGCGATGGTGATGCGCCCACCGCAGATGCACTCAGGGTCTCGAGCTCCAGAGGGCCTAGACCTTTCGCACACCATGTCAAGAACCCGCTTCGCTGGGGGATGGATAATCTGACAATGCCATGAGCCGTCGTATCGCAGTACCCCGACATACCACTTTGTCCTTGTAGCCAATCTTCATTCGTTGAGAGAACGAGGAAACAAAGAGTCGAGTCCAGAATCTGCAGCCAAGATGCGCGCAGCCGCAGCCATAGGTGACGTCAATCAACAGGATTACTCGAGCTACGGGGCGCCGGAGAGGCATCCGATGGGAACCAGGGGAGGGGTTCTGTTGCTCAAGAAAGCGGTCTAGCGTTTTCGCATTCCTGTGCTCGCTGTGTCCACAGCCACCACCCCGGCCAGCGTCAGCGTACACCAGGCTGTAGGTAGGTTCCGGACCACAGCAAACACTCTCCGCAGTCCGAATTCCCTTCTCCAAAGATCTAGATGAGCTGGGTGTCAATGACGTGGGCGGTTCGATGATTCTCGGACTGTGCTGCTGTCGCTTCGAGCTGCGTAGTTATTCGACTTGCTCTGCCCCCATTGCCTGGGTCCATGGGGCCCAAAGATGATCGCTGACGTAGCGCAAAGAGCGAATAGTCGCGATATCGGTGCTTTGGCCATGAAGAAGGTTGCCTGGAGGAACATCCGGAAGACATCGGCATTCACATTTCCCTGGTCGAAAACCCGGAAAGTCGAAAAATGCCCTCTCGAGGCGCCTTTTCTGCCATTTCCAACCCACCCACCATTCCCCTCACGGACGGTTGGACCCTGACTCGTCGCGCGTTAGGGCCCAGGGGTCCAGAGACCACAGGCCAGTTCCGAAAGTGCAGAGATCGGCGCCCACGCCGTAAACCCCACCAAGGGCAGTCAAGGGAGCTCGGAGATCGTCAACAACACATGTCCCAATCCGAGTTGGCTCCCCTCGCGATGAGCATCTGACTTGACGCCCCTCGTACGATATCTTCTTCGAAATGGCTTGAACCGGATGCGCTCCGGCGAGGCAACAGAAAGGCGGACAGAGGATCTCCTATTTTCAAGGTCAGCTCAAGTCCAGGGAGAAGAACAGGCATGACATCACCGTCGTATCCGGGTTGGCCATCACGCTATCTGTTTGCCCCGACGAACTGCCCAGAGATGGAGTGACCGCAGCACCCATGAGGCTACCATAAAGGGCCTCATAAAGACCTCATCATAGTGCCGCGGTCTCTAGTATGGTCCGCATTAGAGCATCTGTTTTCCCATTAATGAATTCATTCACGCCAAAAGTTTCTGTCGTGTGCTATCATTAATATTAAGAGGTCTTCCTAGGATTGCTTGCACCCTCCGTGTTAAGCCTTTCGTCGCCGCCAGCATCAACAACTTAGACACGACTGACCTCCCTACTTTGTAACCGCCCGGATTGCGCGATTTGTTCCCTGCCATCGCCGGGGCTGTGGAATTGGTAAAGACTCAATGCTTCTAGAATCTCGTCCGTGAATTTCTTCAATTCACATCTCGCCAACCCGGCGGTAAGCTGTATCCAGTCCATCACAATCCAGATGCTTGACTGAAGCTGAAGTTACATCCATCTTCTCTGCCAAAGACGTAATTGAATCCCTTGGTAGGAACAGGAAGTGGCGGCGATGATGGTGGTGCCAAAGGGGCCTTTTGTTCTTGAGCCGGTGGCACATCTTGCTTGTAGCACTGTGCTTGGGGCTTCTTTGTTGAGGTTTTCTTGACAGTAGGCGCAGCTCTCTTCACTCTCGGTTGTGTATCGGGTTCTCTCTCATTCCATTTGCATGCCAAAACCTTGAATCGGACCTTTTCGGGGTGTGCATGCCTGCTGTTCTTGCTTTGAGTGGCGTAGAGGATGAACCTCTTCTGTAACCAGGATATGGTGTCGACTACTCTAGACTTGACATCCCAGTGATCCTCGTCGGGTTCGTGAAAAACTCTGCCTTGGCATTTGAAACCAGGTGGCACAGCCTTCGCCGCCGGGTTCGCCCTCCGGGGTTCGATCTCTCTCTTTGTGTTGCTGGTTACTTTCAATGTCTTGATCATCTCAGTCACCCGGTTCGGCGATAAACGGACGTTCTCAGTATCTTCCTTTGTGCCTAACCAGATATCAAGTTAGCATGGCTCTTACTCTCAGCCAATGGAACAGCCCTACGCTTCTTAGACGGCTCAAGGGAAGAGTCCTGGGGTCTGATATCGAACGATGGGGCGGCGGCTTGGTCCGAAGTAGTGATCTGGGCCGGACTGAATTCTAGAGAGTCAATACTTTTGTCCTTCTCAACTATTAAATAGTCAATGAAGTAGAATGTTTCTAGGTTGGGCAGATACTTGGCGAGGAATTCGTAGAGGTGGACAGGGTAGACTTTGGTGGCGAGGCCGGAGTAGCGGGTGCCGCAATGACCGCACCGAAAGCCGCTAACACTGGTTTCCCATGCGTGACAGTAGGGGATGGCGACGTGGCGGATATTGGCAAGTTCATTGCATTTAATGGACTGCGACATGCGACACCAGCTTCGAAAGTCGTCTGCGGACAGGTACTCGAGGCACACGATGTCAAAAGAGCCGCCAAGCGAGACGACGCGGTCGCCCTTCAGCTTTAAGCCACCAGGTGCGCTCGTCAGGCGTCGAACGACCTTGGCTGACTCGAAGCAAGTAGCGGAAAGCTTTTCGAGGACTCGATTGGCAGATATATAGTTGGAGATGTTGGCTTGGGGTGTCGGGTATCGGGGCTCTAGTATGGCAGGCCAAACCCTCGTAGGTACACTCTCTCGAGCAAAGTCGAGAAGGACATCATCTTCGTCCTTGGTATCCTGGTCACCGAGTGACCCTGTCGGCATTGGAGAGGGGTAATGTGTGATGCGAGCTGCAGTCCTGAGGCGTAGGAAGTGCATGCCAGGTTCGAAAATGGCATCCTCCCAGATCTGCTCTCGGATTTCGGGCGGCAGACGCGAGAAGCAAGTGAAGGAGCGAGCGGACGCCGGAATATCAAACTTGACTGGTGATGCCATTGTGAAATTATTCTGCTTCTGCTCTCTTGATTGTCGGTATCCAAAGCGAGCGGATTGAGAGACTGATGGGAAACTAGCGATGGTGGATGGTTCCGTGAGATGAGATAGTGAGGATGCTGCTGTGTCTGATGGAGATATTAGTGGAAGAATGTTGTCTGCTGGAGAGAGGAGGTTAGATGGACGGCACGCCCTCTTGGCAGGCGGTAGCGGGATGGGCCACTCCATTTTGTGGAGGCAGGCCGTGGATCACACACCCAAGCGAAGGTTCCGAGATGCTCTTGACTTGAGTTGGGGTGAAGGTCGGGAGGTGTTGAAGAAAGTGACGACGAGAGAAGAGGAAGAGGTAAGGGTGACGTTGATGCGTGCCCAAGGTAGGTACCGAAAAGAAGGTAGTAGGAGGAGCTCCCTCACCAGTCACGTGTAGACAACTGAGGTGAGATGAAGGTAGCGATCCATTTGGCAGTGAATCGGAATGGAAGGTGCAATGTACTTTGAGGCAATGGTTTTTCACGTTGAAGGTTGGCAACTCCACTCGACCTAAGGTACCTTACTTACCTTTGCGGGCAACAGAAGTCGGAAGGAAGGAGCGATTAGGGTGCTCATGTCAGTAACGATAAGTCCAGGAGTTTTGCGACTGCTTTTCGTTTCCAGGTGGTTATCTGTACACTCTATCGGGCTCATTGAGACAGTATTTCGTGTGAATCGATCCATTTTTGTGAATCTGAATTAATTACTGGTGCGAGATTTGCCATCATTCATGAGGAATCAACAAGTTTTTGGTTGTTAGTGAGTTTCGCAACTCACGTCAAGTTAAGGGACTGCAGTGAGGTGAATTCGGACGAGAATGCGGTTTCTTCAGTAGAAATGAATAAAGGGACGCTCAACGCCAACATGAGTGTATTTATTGAACCATTGAGTACAGCTCAGTTACTCATTGAGACACAAGGGGATTGAAGGAGGTGACCATGGCTGGTGTAGATGATGGCATCCAAATTCGGAGCCGACTCGGACCTGTTAGATACGTACCCTCCCTAGGACCCACCCGCCCCGTGTCGAGTGAGTATGGAGTACGTACCGCCAGCAAAGGTGCTTTCCACGTAGGTACCTTGTACCCCAAGACCCTGAAAGCTTCCGGAAGCTTACCATCAGACGACGAAAAGCCTCCGACTGAGCCAAGCTTGCAAAACTTCCGATACCTTCCTGTCCATTTCATCCGCAGCTATGCCGTAAGACTCAGTCAGAGCATACATCGCTGCGTCGACCAGTATGCCCTTCGCAACCCACCCGAACCAGAAGCGGTCTGCCTGCGAGCGATGCCGTCGCCAAAAGCTCCGATGCTCCCGCCAAGACGACGAGAACGAGACACGCTGCACGCGGTGCGCAGAGCGGGGCCTGGATTGCGTCGCCGGCCACCAGCGCCGTATTGGAAGACCGTCAAGACGCATGACCTTGGACCACGCGATGCCGAAGCGTCTACCCGAGGTTTCCGTCCCGTCCACGAACACAGACGGTGAACAACCACCGGCCGACTCTGTGACTCAAGATAGCCTTCCCGGTAATTCGTCACTAGACCCTTCAACGAGCACGGCGGCGTTGGGTCACGGAACCACCGCCGATACGACTATCTCTTTGGACTACCATCTGGATGACTTTCCCTGGGATATGTCCCTCGATCCTCAGTTGGACAGCTCCATCTCCGCCCAGATGGCAGAAGAGGAGATGGGGCGCATAACCAGCATACCTAAGATCGCAGATCCGGCATTCCAGAATGAAGCTTTCGTCAAAATCTCAAAGATTAACGTCGACCTTCACTCCTATCTGTCAAATATTGAGATGAACAGACCACATCTCGACTTTTGCTCCTTCACCCATCCATCCTCAATCCTCAGCGCCGGCGGTCACACCATGCCGGAGCTCGTCCTCGTCGCCTTCCAGGACTTTGTCGGCATTCTGACAGGCCTGAACAAAATGGCTAGCATTCATCAAAGTGTGTCGCCAATGACTGATACTTTACCCTCTCGACCAGCACTGGCACAGGATGAATTATGCTCTGAGTCTGGCTCGTTGAACCCCTTGCTACTTGTGCGCGGCAGAGCATCTTCGCCGCTCGCTCCTCAAGCCGCTGTCCCCATAACCAACGTCTTCAACCAGCCGCTAGTTCTCATCATTACTAGCTGTTACATACAAATCATCACAGTCTTTGAGGAGATATTCGTCCAGATACACAAGAGACTAGAGGCAATCGCTTGGGACCCAATTCAGCCGATCGAAGGGATCAAGTTTGGCGCCTTTCCAATAGAAGATGCCCATCTTCAGGGTGTCATATTCTTCCAGATTGTCGAAAGTCTGCTGGAAAAAGCTGATCGATTTCTTGGCGTCAAGCAATCCATGGTATTCCCCTCCGGAACCGTCATCTCCTCTGGAATTCTGTCCCCTAGTCAGTCCGATCTCCTTCATGGCCAGCTCAAATCCAAGGACCAAGCCTCCGTGCCAAGGTCTGTTGGGCTCAAGATTGCTATTCAACGCTTGCGATCGACTTTGGAGGCAGCAGTATGATTACAAACCAAGGGTGGGATTGTCTGTATTATGGAAGAAAAAGCGACAATAACCTGATGTCCACCCCATAAGGAGGTAAGTCAAACCCCCCACTTCCTGGCACCCCCCTGTTTCTGGCACCCACAAAAACGATGGGATCACAACCCAACCTCCTCATTACTATTAACTATTGATCCTCAACCACACCCACTACAATACAACTGCCAGCCTCACTAGGGCATTCAGAGTCGCTGGATTCAGCCGTAATAACCTCCTTTTCACCCGCTTCGATTTGAGCCCGATGGATATCCCTGATGTTCGCAAACTTCGTGTTGGGATCGATCTGAACAGTCTTCCTCTTCCTAACTGCAGCGTTGGTAACTTGAGGCCTCAGGTGAGCCAGCTGCTGCTGGGCAGCTGCCAGTTGCCAGGCCTGCTCTGTGAAGCCTTTTTTCACCTTCCTGAACAGCAGCCGTTGAGTGCTGGTATCATTGTCGAGTTGGGTGTATAAGTGCAGTTGACCGCTGAGCTCTGCCAGCTTCCTGGGTGTCGACCAGACCACTGCAGAGGAAGCAGAATCCATGGCTCAACAGGGGTAGTTTGTTGACCATTATGGCATCGCTTTTGCCCCGACTGGTTGGTTTGGGTGTGGTGGGCTTAGCAGAAGGCTCAGGTAATACCATAGGGTTCATCAGGGAACCATCGCTACAGGGTGTAGACCAGTCCACTTCCAACCACTTCTGATGTTCGAGACTGATAGACCAGCAAGTCGAGCCTTCTGGTAACAGTCCAGGAAGTTCCTTTTACCTATAATGGTAGAGTCGTTCCATTGAGACAAGTAACCGAGCTCCTTCCGATAGGCTGACTTAACAGGGCTGAAGACAGACTGGTCAAGTGGCTGGAGGACATGAGAGGAGTGTGGTGGTAAGAACAGTAAATGGATATTGTTAATATAGCAATTCCACATGAAGTCTGTCGTCGTATGACTCCCATGCCCATCCACAATCAACAGTCGAGCCTCGCCCTCAGCCTCGGGCATAGTCTGTGGGATAAACACCTTCTCTAACCATTCAATGGCAGTTAAGTCTGTAGTCCAGCCATTATCTGTTGCTGTAAACTCCCACCCATCGTATGGAACCAGATGTAATGGAAACCACTGTTGTTGGACCGTCTTCCTTGAAAATGATAAGAGGACGAAGTGCCCTACCCAAGGCTGAGATACACTCAATGATAGAGACCCATGCCCTCGACCCAGGTTGTTTCTTGCGAACAGACGTCGTCTCAGCCATGCCCAGCACTAACCCATTAGCTCCTGACCCTCGAGGATGCCAGTCTCATCCATATTATATCTGTTGGCTGGTTTGATGTCCTTGATCTCAGGGATAGCAAGGAACTTAAACCAGTTCCTAATGACCTCAGTAGATGCCCCATTAACGCGTCTAGAATCGATGGAACGACTTCTCTGAACCTTAATGATAGGGTTCCTTCTCACGAAGGCATAGATCCAGCCTTTTCCTAATGGTTTGGTATCCCCAGCAGCAGCCAGAACTCGCTCTGCGAATTCCTTCACCTGTTGGTGCGTTGGTGCGAGGCCCAGCGAAGCCTGAATGCGAACCCATTGTGCCAGCTTACTCTCCTGGTCAGGAGACAGCCTCTGCCAGTCAGCAAAAGCCACTTTCCTAGTCTGACCACCTTGGAGACGTAGTTGGAGGGTTGATCGTGGTATCCCATACTCCAATGAGGCTCTCTTTTGACTCTTGCCGTTTGAGATGTCCTCGAGAGCCTGACGAAGCTGATCTTCGGTATATTGAGGCATTAGATATAGAAGAAGGTATGTGCAAAAAATGAGCCCATTTGGACTCGAATTGAAAATGTTGTGATAAAAGGAGGTTGGGGGTGGGCATTGCGTTGTGGTGGATTTTCGCGTTTTTGTGGGTGCCAGAAACAGGGGGGTGCCGGGAAGTGGGGGGTTTGACTTAATACGTCAAGCCCTCCACCAGTAAGGAAATCCGAGTCTCTCGCAATAGAGGGACTCAAGGTCAGCTGCTTAAGCAAGTCCGAGCATGTCATTGATGCAGAGGTGCCCTCACTCCACCCTCTCGGCCCACAATGGCGCACCGATCCCGTTGAAATCGGCACCGCCCTCCGAATGGGTCCTGCGGAATCATCCAGCTCGACGTTTCGAACAGCCGGTTACTCGGCAAAAACTCCCACCGGTATGCCTCATCCTGTCCACGTCAACACTCGAGCTCGATCGGCATAGTTCATCCGCGCGGCAGATTGCTCCCGTTTGCGCACTCATTCGACCTCAAATCTGCTCACGTCGGCACCATCTACTCCACCATACCTTCCACGGAACCCATCTAGAATCGGTATATATACCTGGAGCAGCCCCTCTTCAACAACGTCTTGGCACTCTTCCCGTGGCATGGCCCAAGACCTTTGGTCATCAGTTGACGGGCTGGTAGGAATATGCCCTCGGGCACCAGTAACGAGCTGCCCCACATTCTTGTCGCGTCCCCTCCCCCTTTTCAAATCTCTTCCGCTGGACCCCCACATTTTCATCTATTAGTTACAAACATTCACACTATCTGCGGCACAGCGGTCTGCTATCGGAATCCGTCGTCCGTTGAAATCTCTTTCACGGAGGCAGGGGACCAGCAACACGCTCAGAAGAGATAGATACTCGCCAATAGTTCAAGGAACCAACCCTGACGACAGTCGAGCGGGCATTTGCAGCATACCATCAGTCTGTGACGAGCGCTGAGTTAGAGTCTTCTGGCGCCGTATTCAACGGAAACCACTTTGTGGTCTCAACATCGCTCCATGAAAGGCCTAGGAGTTGGTAAAGAGGTAAGCCAAGCCAAGCAAGACTTTTCATCACGACTGGCAGTCACTTCACAGAACGAGACAGGCACGGACAAGGTTGTTTGAACAGATATACATTGCAAAGCTTGAAAGACGCCCAGCTGCAAAAAAGGTGCGCTAGACGCCTGTGGTGGTGGTCGACTGAAAAAAGGGTGTTGTGCTTGCAGCGATATATACACCGGGTATAAATCTATTTACATGGTTGTTTGAGAAACGAATCAATGTGCTCATTCAGAGACCTCCTTCCAAGTGGAAGAAGGCCTTGTATTTTCTTTCCTCCTGGTTTTTCATCTGCACACACACTGCTTTCTACCAACGCTTAGTGGCGAAGGCGGAAAGAGCGAGCGTGGCGGCGAGCCTTCTTGGCGCAGGCATCGTCAGCAGCGCCGGAGACGGCGGGGGTGGCAGAGGGAGCGGTGGTGGAGGGAGCAGAGGGAGTGGCGGGGGTGGTGCTGTTGGAGCCGGAGCCAGATCCAGAGCCGGAACCAGAGCCAGAGCCGGAGCCGTAGAGGGCAGGGCCAGGGATGGTGTAGCTGGAGATGGTGGCGTAGGGGTTGAACTGGATACCGGCGTCGGTGTTCTTGTACAGCTCAGTGCCGAGGGTTCCCTCGGGGTTGGCGGTGCCGGAGCCAGTGATCTTGACGTTGACGCACTGGGGGTAGTTCTGGGCGCCGTTCAGGGAGCCAGCACCGTGCATGGCAATGATCTCGTGGCGGAGAACGTAGTTGCCGGCGGCGAGGTCGGAGGGGATGGTGGTGGACCAGGTGTTGTTGTTGGCAATGAGCTTGGTGGCAGCCCACTCCTGGGTGGCGATATCAATGCCAGACTCGTCAATCTTGACCCACTTGAGGGTGGTCTTGTCGACGGAGGCCCAGTCGTCACCGTCGACCTTTGCGGCGTAGGTGAGGACGGGACCAAAGTGAGACTCGGGCCAGGCGGACCACTCGAAGTCGACGGTGCCACCGGCAGCGACGGTGGAGGCGACGGCGCCAGGAGCACCGTTCTTGTGGCAGTTGATGTCGGCGGAGGCGTAGCCGGTGCCGTCGACGAAGCCGTTGTCGAGGTTCTCGGCGGACCAGGCAGAGATGGAGGGGGGAGTGCCGCCGTTCTGCTTGAGGTAGTAGTAGTCGAGCTTGTAGCCGGCCTCGTAGGCGCCGTCGAACTTGAAACCGGTGACGGTGCCGTGGGCGAGAGCGCTAGCGGCGAAGGCGCCAACGAGGGCGATGGTGGACTTGACGGAAGACATTTTTGAAAAGGTCGGGTTTGTTGGGATGGTCCTGTTGGAAAAAAGGAGGAAGGGTTGGGAAGAGAATGAATGAGCTTGAATTCGTTGGATGTAGAGTTTTTTTGCAAAAGAATGTCCCAGCTTCACACAGTGAAGAACTGACGGTTGACGGTTTGGAAAAAGAATGAAGTGGTGAAAGAACCAAAGAATGTGTGCGACCTGCAATGTTGGATGAAGAACCAAGAGGGGAAAGATATCAATAAAGAGCGAGGACATCGTCGTGTTATTTATCCCACCGGGAGGCTCTTGTGTAAGATGCCAAGCAAGCAACCCCCTTTCGTCCCTTTCCAGCTCTCAACTGTTCCCAACCTGGTCGAGTCCAGTTCTTTCTTGCCAAGATAGTCCTACAAGCGCCTGATAGCTGAGCCGCCCCCTCAACCCTACTTCGCAGTGAAGTGGGAGCAGGGCCAGGTGGAGATGGCAGAAACTTCATAAGACCGAAACACCAATATGCAAACCAGAGTGGTGGAATTTTGGGGGGGTGGCACCCGTCGTGGCCGGGGGGGAGGAGACCAACAGGTCCAACGCAGCGTCACAGCAGCCGGATGTGCTCCGATTTGGAAGGGATACCGGTCTAGGAAAGATGGACTGGACCGTTCCACTGAGAGGCGTAGGCGCTCAGTTTCGTAACCTCAGCCGTTGGGTTGTCTGGGCGCTCTGCCATCCTCCCCAATATTCGAAAGCCTTGCAAGTTGATAGCCATGATCTGGCCCAGGGGCTCAAGCTGGGATCATGGCTGGGGTTGTGCGGCGCAAGGAAGGTGACGGTCATGATGGAGTCACCTGGGTATGCATGCTGTGCTGCTTGGGTCAGTATTGAATACATATCCAATGCCCAGTCCCAATAGTTTACTCATCTTCAGCAAGAAGCTCGAGCGAACACGACTCTTTCGCCCAGAAACGTCTGGTGAGAGAAGCAGGGGATCCCGTGATAAGGTAGTCATGGATCCTACCCCTTGCCATAGTACCTGAGAGGCAGTAAGCAAGCACGCAACTTTGCGAGCGAGTTGCCAGACTTGCCAGAGTAAGAACTTGAAAAGACTCTATTCGACTTAGTCATGGGGCAGAGTTACCGCGTTGAGAGGGTGGCCGGCGGGAACTGTACAAATACGGCGCAGCACGGGCGCACCGGAATCTCAGACGTAGCGCCGGGCTTGAAACAGACCCTCCTGCCGCCCTTAATATGGGAAGGTAAATCATAGGAGGATCGGATGCGCGTTACCTAAATGCCACCACACTCTCCAGTCTCCACCCAGGCCTTGTCTTGTCGCCGGCTACTCGTCTTGCTCTTGCAAGTTGACTTGCATCATACGGATATGCTCAACGATATCGTGATTCGTGCTATCAGTGCGTAGTCCAAGTGGTTCGGAGCCGAATAATAGATGATGACTTCAGGGGCTAGTGGTGACGACTGTTCGGATACGCCCCATCTTCGCCAGACGAGCGTGCAAATATGCATATCCCCATAGCCCCCCCCATTCTTGAGTGAGTGTCAAAGATAACCGTAAGATATAGTCCGAGTGTCGATGTTCGCCAGTGATGCATGCTATCTCTCATTAGCCTCTCTCTCTCTCTCCCCCCTCTTATCCATAGTCTCACTCTCGACTCCTCGAGTGTCGCATCTCTGCGAGTCTGCAACTCTCTGTCAGCAAAACTGCCAGTGAGTTGTGCAAGTGCCTCGGTCTCGCACTTCTCCGCATGGTCTGAATAATTAAGGTGTGGTTCCTAGTGCCATATTCCCCTGAGTATCGATCCACATTTCTCGCTGGCGCCCACGTTTTTTCTGTCTATTCCGATTGAATTTTTCTTTGCCTTGTTAGGTCCTACTTCCCGCCGTCCGGTCTGCCCCCTTCCACTATGGAGTATGGATCCCGTCGTGGCGCGCTGCTGAGCCTACTGGGCCGCTGGCCTCTCGCATAGTGAGTGAATCTCGTTTCGGGCATTCCCATGCGTCGATCCGCGTAGTCGAGATGAACTCGCCAAGACAACTGCCGCCAGACCGTTTCTTCTTTAATGCGCCGAGCCTCTAGGTCATTGGCGATTCCGTCTTGTTCCACGGTTCTACGGGTTCGCTCACTGATCAGTCAATCATCAGTCTGATTCTCTCCAACCCATCGTCTGTGGGCACTTTCGATGAAACGGCGCCCGCATACCTGTCAGCGACTGTCAGCAGCTTTGTCAATTTGTCGACCGTCAGGCGACTCGCCGACCGAATCTTCAAGCCTCTTGGAGTCTAGCCGTAGTAGACCATCTCAGTCTCTCACTCAACTTCACACTTTCAAGACTCTTGGGCGCATGCCACAACCGCTGTTCTCGCCCGTGACCATCGAGTCTTGCCCTCTTCCCCTTATTCTGGCGTGTTGCATGAGCTGCACTTCACAGCGTCGCGCCGAGACGGCGTTGCGGCGCGTGATTCCTGCACAAGGCCGCATTCGACAGGGCTGGTCGCCAAACGGTCGCCGCGTCACGAATCGTGATCCCAGCCTCAACCTTGATTGGGTTAGTGTTTGTTTGAGATAGACTTTGATGGTCGTCAAGCCCCCTCCCCTGACAGCACTCTCCACAATCGCTGCATATCAGAACTTCTGCTCGATATGACGACAACGGCGGTGAACACCAATTAATGTCTGCAGGCTGTGAGTTGTAAGCGGTGCAGGGGACATCTCTGCTTGGTATAGGCGGCCGGTGTCTCACGGCAGATCGATCGCGTTAATTGCTCCCTTCGTGCCCCTCTCGTCGACTCTTAATCCCGGCCAAGCATGTCAGCAGAGTTGTTTACGGCGAAACTCTCGATTGAATCATTTTTTGGCCAAGCTTTTTGTTGCGTTCGATGAGAAAAACTCTCTTTAAGAGAACTGTTTTACAAAAATGCCTGGATGGCTTCCCAGAACGCTGCAGGGCTCTCCCACATGGGAAGATGACCGGCGTTTGGCACAATCTTCAACTCGGCGCCGCTGTCGCCCAACGCACCCTTGAAGCCCTCCATTGCCTTGACCAGCGCACCTTTGGCGTCGCCATCACCCACAACCAGCAAGCCGGGAACTTGGCAAGATCCAAGCTCTGGCTTCAGATCATAGTCCCACAGCGCTTGGCAGCTATATCTGAAGCCTTCTACGTTGTTTGCTGCGACTATTTCCGTCATGGCTTTCACCACGTCCTCCTTCTCCAACGTGGCCGGATGGAACCACCGAACTACCGTCTGCTCGGCCAGCTTTGCGATTCCGGCTCCGCTGTTCTCCTCTGCAACCGCGATGCGATCTTTCCAGGCCTGGGTATTCGCCGCACTCGACGTCACGTTGAAATCGCAGGCGATGAACTTCTTCAGTCTATTGGGGTACCTGAGCGCAAAGTTGGTTGTTGTTGCGCCTCCCATCGACACTCCGATAAGGGCGTGCAGCTTGGGGATGCGGAGTGCATCAAGAACAGTGCGCAGATCAGAGGCAAGCAAGTCCAGAGTTGCCGGCACAGGCGGGCTCGGGATGGCGTGTCGGCCTCGTGTGTCGTACCGCAGAATGCGCAAGTCGGGGCGCTGCTCCTTCAAGATCTTGACAACTGGATCCCACATGTGCAGAGACGTCAGCAGAGAATTGCAAAATGCTACGGTAGGTGCCTTGGGCGAAGTGTTGCCTTCCAGCTTGTAAGGGATCGAAAGTTGATCTTCGGCTGTGATGTACGAGTCGATAACCTCGTCCTTTCCGGGAACAGTCGTAGTCTTGCCATCCGGGGCTGTAAAGGTGGAGGCTGTGGCCGGCAGCTTGGCCAAATTCTCCAGGTCGCGAGAGGCGGGACCAAAGACGTAGAAGAGAGAGTAAGTACGACGGTTCATGCCTGCGACCTTCTTCACCATCTCTGCAGCCCAAGGAGTAGCCGTAGAGGCCTTGTGTTCGGGACCGCCCAAGCCATTTGTACGGGCGTAGTCGTGAAGTACGAAGAAGGTAGTCTTGCTACCGACGCCGTCGCCAATGGAGGAAATCTTGAAGAGACGGGTCCTCAACCAACCGGGAACCTTGGACAGCATTGGGATGTGTTCTTCGGCGTACCACCTCTTGAACTCGGCCTCGTCTGACTCGTCCTTGAGAGTGGTCTCAATGGCCACGAGCTCGATGCCCTCGGCTTCCTCGTCAGAAAGCTGCTCAATGGGGATAAACAGAGGGGCCTTTTGCTCAATGACCAAGTCGAAGAAGTATCTGGTGACGGCCACCTGGCCAATGGTCTCGGCCTCACGAGCAGATCTGTTTGCGCGGAGCGTGGTGTATGTAGGTGTCTCGAGGTGGGACATGTCCGTCACATCGTAGGAGGCGAGGTAGGTCGGCTCCTTGCCGTCGTTGGCGCGGTAGCGCAGGCCGTTGGTGAAGATTTGGGGGAGACGCAGGCGGGTTGGGCCGTGCTCGTTGTTGTACCACTCGTGGAACTGCTCGATAGCCAGTTCAGGCTTCGGCTGCATAGTAACGTAGAGCATTCCGGGAGGCGCCATGGTGATTACTTGACTCAATTGGTGTTGTTTGAGATGTATTGAGAAGTTTGGACAGATTTGCGAAGGAGCAAAGACAAATGGCCGGGCGAATTCGGTATGTGAGGTATTCAGTCAGGGTGACTTCGGGTGCCGTGGGAAGCTCGGGGCGAGGCTTATGACGAACGCGGGGTCGAAATTGGAGAGAGGGTCCAGCGCGTTCGGGATGTTGACACGGCAAGCTGCGCGACGGCAATTCAAGTCAATGCTTTCGAGGATGCTTTGAGGAAGTTTCTTCGAGAGGACCGGTTTATCTCAGTGTGCCGATATATCTCAGAGAATCCGCGTTTTCCCAACTCAAGATACGGTAATCGTAGGGACGAGGGGCGTCGGCCTCGGCCATTGTCGAAACAAATAATCTGGCGCATTGTGGCGGAAAAGTGTTCTGCCAGCACCTTTCGCACCACTGCCTCGCGATTGATGATTCTTCCAGGAGCGTATGCTCGGAGCGATATCGGTGGTGGTCATGGAACATTTCCTCGAAGGCTATTGACTGAATATTCCTCATGACTTGTCGCATCTAGATCTCGAAGCAAATAAGACTCTGCATCTCCTAAATGGAGGACTTCGTCGTCACCGTGTAGAGCATCGCATTTTCTCAACGGCATCGGACGTGTGGATTTGATCAAGGTATTCCGTACGGAAAGGCAGGTGGAATGGGAACCGACGTCGAGTTTTCGGATGGAAACGGCGATTGGCTAGAACTCGGAAGAATTTGTCTAAGCCCCTGAGGTGAGATACGGATACCTTACCTAGGCTCCTTCCCTCTTTCCTCTTGGACCTGCCTGCCTGTTCGGAATGTTACAATGGTGAAGTATCAGACGGCAGGTTCATCGCTACCTGTAGCTTCCCATCCTTCTTTCCCTCCTACCCCCACGCCCTCAGTTTGATTGAAGGAAGCCACCACCGTCAACACACCTGCCTGCCATCTGCCACCTGTCTCTTGCCACCTGCCAATCCTTTGGAGGGACAGCGGCAGATGCCGGAGGCC